CCCCCCCTAGGCGCACGTGCGAGAAAAGTGTTGAGCGGAGGCAAGCAGCGGGGAAGGAATGTCGTCGTGGTCAAGTGTGGGTTGGAGGTCTCGATAGATAATGCAGAGAGGGGGGTTATTTTTTCTTTGGTTTTCTATTATTATTCTCTGTGGCTGATAGTGGTTTTTTTTTTTTTTTTTTTTTGGTAACAGCAGACAGGCACAGAAAGAGGGCCAAACTCAGCAAATCGGATAATTGTGTGAGGTTAAGCGAAATAAGTGAAGTCGGGTGGAATGGCGGGCCGCCTCCCACCTACTCGTTACACGGGATTTATCGCAAACTCAAAAGGACTGGGTGGGAGATAGAGTTAGAGATAGATAAAGAGAAGGAGAGAGAAAGAGGTGGATGGACATGGATATGGACATGGACATGGACATGGACATGAACATGGACATGAACATGGACATGGACCCGTGGAATGGGAATAGGACGGGACTCGATGAACTTGTTGTTGATGTCTGTTCCTTAGCGATGCTTCTAGAAGTAAAGGTGCCGTGTCGTGCCCTGCCTGGCACCTGGCACCTGGCAGTAGAGCATCAGACGCACGCCTTCGTTCGTACAGCACTGAAGATGGTTGAATACCGGTACTGTCTGTACCGGTAGAAGAGCTGGAGACAATCGACGGGTCCAGCTTCGAAATGATCTTAGAGTTTCGACCCTTTTTCTTCTTTTTTTTTCTCACCTTCTTCTCCGAGCCGAGTGGTAAAAGTATAACTCCCTCCGACTTACGGCGCAAGAGTCGGTCACGAGACTTGACTATTATTCGCCAGAGCCAGAGCCAGAACCAGTGCCAGTGCCAGTGGCGCTACCGCTACCGCTACACTTACTGTACTGTACCGGTACTTACTACTATCTCTCCCGTTGCTCTGTTTCCGCGTGGGGGGCATATCATATGTGCTACTATTATTAGAGCCCAGCCGCGTGATAAGCCTCCGTTGGGAGGTATAAGGAAAGTATCTCCGAAGTATCTACTACTACCGGTACCGTATCTGTTTGTCTGCTATCCCTATCTATTTGTCTATCATCCATCCATCCATCCATCCCACCACTCACTGCCTCTGATCCCTTATGATATATATTATCCACCTTCATCTCAACCACGGCATCTCTTTTTTCATTTCCATCATGCTTCGCGAGACGATTCGCCCTGTGATACCACACAAGCAACATCAACATCAACTTCGTGCCACCATCAGCAATTAATATACGGCCGGCCGGGCCGGGGGCCTTGCCAGCTCCTGTTCTAGGATATACTTCCCTTCCCTGCCCTTCGCATTCGCACGCCATTACCCCCATCAATCACCCTTCCGAAATCCCAATCCCAATCCCCAATCCCCAATCCCCTACGTATATCCATCACCTCCCTGCTCATAACTGTCTATCAACCTTCTCACCTCCTCCCGCACTTAAATTGTTAGTAAAGAAAGTAAGTACCCAGCGGACAAGCACAGGTTACCTGCCTCTCCTGTAGGTATCTTCCTTATCTTATCATATGCATACATATACTACTAGTACGCTGTACTTACTTCTACTCAGGTCCAGCTCAGATCTCGGTTAGGCTTCTGCGCTTCTGCGTCGTCCTGACCCCCCACCGCCCAAAAAAAAAAACCCCACGCATGTCCCACCCCCCCCCCCCCCAATCCCCCCAGAACCGCAATCCACAAATTAGCTGCCAAATCCTCGACTCCTTCCGACCTTCGAACGAAAAAAACCCCCTTTTATCCCTAACGGTTGACTCTCTACGTATGACTTCCGTACTCCTCGGGGGCCACCGATTCGGACAGCCTGGACACCACGAGCATGTATTCTCCCTCGCGATATGAGAAGTCGCGAGCCGACGATTCACATCTACCGAAAGGGGGCTGTCGATATATCCTCTCACACCCGGAACTGACAGGGCTACGGTGTGCCTGTGTCGGCTTTGCCTTGAGTAGATCTGTACCTGGCAGCACTTGTGATTGCGGGCATCAAGCGTGCTATCATATCCCGGAGAAGGAGAGTAACTCGGTCGAGCGGCAAGAGCTGGAGGCTTTGAGAAAGAAGGTCGACTGGCTGGTCGAGCAGCTGGAACGAGAGAGGCGCGGCGGGAGTGGTGGACTCGTGGATCGCATCGGCTGCCTGGAAGAGCTAGTGGATCGGAGTCGAGCCGAAAGCGAAGTCGAGTTCAAGAATGTCTATCGCCAGCAGAGCAGCCTCTTCCAAAATGTCGGGGCTCTGAACCACCGGACGCCGTACTACGACGATACCATCGAAGGCCTGGTGGACACTGTTCAGGGGTTCCGGAACCAGTTGATGGAACTCGACGATGCTTCGATGCGGCTCGAGGACAAGGTCGATAGCCTGGGATCCTTCAGTAAGGCCGCTATCAGTCGGAGACGGAGAGCATCAACGCCCCCATCGAAGAAATCCGACGAGTCGGATATGTCCCTGAGCCCGACCCCTCGCGAGTCTCGCTTCCCTTTGCATCCTATGATGGCCGACGAAGCTACTCGCATTCGATCCTTCCGAGACAGAGTCTCCAGCATTGGATCTGGATCGCAGTCTTGGACCGTCCACGTGTCACTCCTACCGACCTCGTCACAGCCTTTTCCGTTCGAGAAGGACACGGCCGCCTACAAGCGTTGTTTATCAAGAGGTTGGAACCCTCCCTCACACCACCTCGTGCTTCGTGGCCCGATTTGCTACTGCAGATCGGGCCTTCTCACGTATGATCATCTCGCGGGCACTCAAATACTAACATTGCTCAGGTCTCCATCAAGTTGTTGTTGTTCCCGACACCGACAGCGCCTCGTTCCGAAACGCGGTTAACGATGCTTTCTGTGCCATTCTCCATGGACGGCCCTGGCACCCCCTCGTTGCTCGTCTTTGCGATGCCAAAAGTCTCCGCGGTCTCCCGATGCTCCGCCCACTTGACGACTACCTCATTGGGAGCAACTACGACGCTGAATTCCTGCAGATCAATTGCGCTGTCAACGATGAAAGCGGGAAAATCCTCGACCTGTACATTGCCATGGCCGAGGACACGCTCTCGTGGGCCGAGTTGAGAGAGATTGCTCCTTTCAAGACTGGACTGGAAGCTTCGTGGGCGTACGACCGACTCCTTGACGGCCCTTCCAATACCGAGGCCCTGCATCCTGATACTACTCGACCAGCCGCTGGTGATATTCTTACCGCCTGGTCACCAAGACTAAAACGAAACGCCTCGGAAATCTCAGGGGCTGCCAGCTTTGGTCCGTCCGACTCGGCAAATACCAGAGCGAAGCTGCGTCGGCCGTATGCCGAAGGTCCTGTGGAGGTAGTAGGAAGGCACGCAGAAGCAGTTTGAATATATCCCTGAAGAGAAAACTAGCGCTGGAGCGGTGTTTTTGAATGGATGGATGGATGTGTATTTAGCCCTGGAAATCCTGGTGTTCAAAGGTGGCGTTGGGAAGGGCATATTTTACAATACCAAAGACGGTTGGGATGGCAAGGAGTCTTGGAGCCTTTCAAAGACGAGTCACGGTTGCTCTGGTGTTCTGTCTCGGTAGAAAATAGCTATGCTTGTTCATAGACAACCTAATACCAGTACCTGGATGTATAGAGCAGCTCTTCGATGCCTATGATACTGATGTCTGGTAGAGGTCTGTACGAAGCAAGGATCGTAACGAATTTAACAGTTATCCTTTTCCGCCAGTGAGAATATCGATAGTCTGGTGTCTTATGATGTATCTGCTCCATGTGGTGTTGATCCAGTGGATTCAGATCAACTTCCACTGCCTCCACAAGAACAATAGCATTGTATCAAGACTACAATCAACGGCTTTAGCCCGGGCATGCTCAAGCAATCCCAGGATCGAATTCCACCAACTCCGTCGCTCACGTGACCCATGAATTATACCCCTCCACCCCACTAGTGCCGCCCTTAGCAAAAAAATAGAGTTTCAACCGCGGTTGCACGTCAACAGACAACCGTATCAATCCGGCCCATCACCTCTCCTGATCACACTGTCTCCCGAGTTGTTCACGGTCATTACCGGCTATCTTTTTGGAGAGTACCGTCTGAGACGCGGCTTTCGCGCTCCATCCAAGTCAAAGTCCCCGTAGGTGAAGAATTCAAGGAAGTTGGGTCTATCATAGGAACGCACTACACGCCCCCCTCGGGCTCGAATTACATCCAGCACTACGATGGGCGACGTTTCCCCTACCCCCTCTCCGACCAAACGCCGGAGGACCAGAGGCCGCATTGCGTCGAAGAATGTCAAGAGTATTAAGAGTACGCTTGGTAGAGCTAGTTTGAGCCCCTGTGGTGAGTCTTACATCATGAACCCCTACTACTCCAGCAAGGCCTTGCCTAACCTCGTACCAGAATTGAAATGGCCTCCGCGCCTGGTTCCTGTCGAGATATTCGGCCTGATCACATCCTACCTCCCGAGATCCAATATCCAGAATATGCGCTTGGTCAATAAGGAGTTTGACAAGAAGATATCCGAGGTCCTCTTCCGAACGGTGGTGGTGCCATTTCGACCCGAGATCTACGGAATCACCCCCGAGACGACGAGTTCCAACGATGAGGTACAGCAATCGATCATGATCCAAGATCAGGGCATGAGGGTGTTTCAAGGGCAAGTGGTGCCCGCATTGCTCCGAAAAACATGCCGTGGCTAATGGGTCTACAGATTCGGAAACTGGATTCAGAGGTTTGCTATGAGTTTCGAGATCGATTATTTCAAATTGTCAAGCCCTCCCCTCAAATGTGAACAAGAAGCCATCACCAGCTTTTGGGGTATCTACAGATGGCCATTCAAGACGTACAACAGATACTCGGCGCTGGAAGGGCTGGAACAGACTGCAGATGAAACAAGAACGATGGCAAAGGCCTTGCAGTTCATCTCCAATGTCAAAGAGCTCGGCCTGTCTATTGACGGTGGCCTGGGCTGGCTTGCTGGTCCAGATGTCAGCCAGAGGGTTGCAGAACGTGGCGGCAAACTGCCAGTCTTTGGCGCTTCAAAATTCATGCCCGAGACCTCTAGGCGTAGAAAGAAAGCCAGACAGCCCCTGAAGCTATTTCCTCCCATGGAGCCGGACCCGGAACCGCACTCTGCGATCTGCACGAGAATCTTAGAACATTCGGGATACACCGGAGAGCATCTTCAGTCAGCTATGAAATTGCTTCAGGAAAATGAAGGTGAGGAAATTTTGGAAGATATTGATATCGAATTACAGGCCATCAATGACGTCACATGGGAAGGTCTTCGAGCTAACCTTGAATCTCCCGCCTTCGGTATCCGTCGCTATCCAGACCCCCAGCGGTGTGGCGGGCTTACGGCAAACATTCTCTCTCAGGGTGATGAAGAAGATTTCGAAGAAGATGCAGAGAGCATTAGCAATCAGCAAAGCATGTGGGCTGCAGATAGCACTCAGCCAGGCAACGGGGGCTTTCGATACACGCCCAAGAACGGACGCGATTCCCTGAAACCTAATGACCTCACTAACGCACAGCGAGAGATGTTGCTAGAGATGGAGTGGGCTCAGAATGCATTCATTCATTCGTGGGTCATCGCAATAATGGACAATCAGTATCATCAAACATTCAAGAATCTTGAGGCCATTACCATCGCGCGCATTCCCACTCGCCATCTTGCAGCCCTCCGTCGCAAAGACTTCTGGGACAGCATTCCTCAATTGAAGAGCTTTTCTCTGGCGGTCATAGCCGATTGGCGGGAGGTCAAGAAGGAGGCCACGAGCTGGGTTCAAGATACAAAGGTAGCCCCCTCGAACTCTGTTACGGCCGTCTTTGATATCATCAATCAGCAAATATCAAGGCGGAAGAACATCAGTGCTCTCCATTTCGAGTGGCTATGTGGTGGTGAATACGCCCCTGGCATGTTTTCCCGCAACCAGAATATCTTGGCGGCCCCGGTTGTTGCGACCGCAATGCATATGGTGAACAGAGCACAAGAACGCGCCGTCTTAGCCCTCCCACACATTGAACATCTCTCTCTGAAGAATTGCTGGTTGAGCCCTCATATCTTGAGCAAACTGTTGCTTCCGATGAGAAAACAGGTCCTGCAAAGCATCTCCTTTGACTCCGTCTCCTTAACGGCGACGCTACCGAGATACGCCGAGCCGAAGCCGATTACCGAAGCCGCTGCTGTGCATGTCTTGCAGGGTGCTCTTATTCCGTTAATGGCACCTTTAGTGCCTCCTAATGAAACTCAAGAGAATGATCAGCCGGATTGGCTCGATCCGCCTCGGAGTGGCTCTTGGACAGAGATAATTGACAAGCTGAGCCCGGGAACCACCTTGGCTGGACTTCGGTATTCGAGAGATCAAGACCAAGATCTAACTTCAAAGCCAGAGGCCAGAGAAGAAACAAAGCTCACCAAACTGGCTTTCAGGTCATGCGGTTATGTCCGAGTCCCTCTTGACTTCGACCAGAGCGTCCTCGAGCCGCCTCAGCCTTTACCTCAGGCAAGCGCTACCTTGAATCAAAGATACAACGAGTTGGATCCGTACATGATGAAACCACTGGAAGCCCACACTATGGCTACGATCATCAACTACATCGATCCCGTTGAGTCTATTGTCCTCGAGAACGCATGGAACATGATCGTTGGCTGGCGCACCTCGCCCACCTCGCATTCGGAGCAACTTGTGGAGGCCATGCTGGACGGGATTCCTAATGCAGGTGACGGTCGATTTGACGGTTGCATTGAGACTGCATAAGCCTCACTACCGAGAAGGATGTTATCGGGTGCGCGAGCACACCATGAATTTGGACACTGCCACTCAACCCCCCCGATGATCATATCAAAATCTCGTTAATTTTTACTGTTCGATTATTTATGCATAGCGTGGGTTTCTGTAGCATAGTTGACTTGGGTGTCACCAGTGGCGCATGGTTTGGGGTTCTAATACAGCAAGGGCGACTCATACCGGTAGATGAATGGCGCATGGGACAAAGCGCTTTTACCTTTAGGAGGATATGAGAGGAGCAGTATGGTACCGGTAATGCTAGCCGTCCTCTGATTCCGTTCGGGCCGAAATCTGGCTGGGCGAGGGCCGGATTGACATTCAGTTGGTCGATGCGGGCCCACTCGGGTCTTCGATTTCAGAAAATATCTGGCGTGGTTCTGCGGCGGAGAAGCAAGCCACCGGTGATGTAAAAGTAGCCTGGAGTTCAAAACCGATAATTCATGGAAACCATCAGACGCTCGCAGAACGTGGTGTCTGCACTCCGTACCCTCACTCCGAGGAGTGAACTTGAGATGAACAGAGCAGCAGCAGCTGGACTCCTCACATTCGGGTAGCAGGTGACAGTAATAGACTACGCAAGCCGCCAACTCCTGACACTCTCACAAACTAGACTGTAGTAGTAAGGAATTCACATGTAGTATAGTGTATGTATGTATGCATGCATGCCGCAACAGGTAGGAAACAGATAGGTAGGAAACAGGTAGGAAACAAATAGGTAGGAATAGGTAGGAATAGGTAGGAATAGGTAGGAATAGGTAGGAATAGGTAGGAATAGGTAGGAATAGGTAGGAAAGTAAGAAGGAGGAGGAAGAGGAACGTGATCGTAGGTATAGGTAAGTAAGTAATATGGCCAATATGGCTAGGCAGGCGTCTAGAGGTGGGGAGAGCGGGGTATAAAGCACCTTTTGGGCCTTGGGGTAGGAGAAGAGAGAGGAAAAGGGGGGAGGGGGGAGAGGTAGGTGAAAGTGGTGATTGTCATGGCGTGTTTGTTATATTGGATCTAGTTTTTCGTTTTTGGGGGGGTAGACTTTTTTGCTAATGGATGGATTGGGAGGAGATGTGTGGATGGATGAATGGATGGTATTTATCAACGTGTGTTTCGAGTGTGCTAATTGACAGGTGTGCGTGCGGTGCGATTTGGCATGGGCGGGCGAGGGAGAGGAGGGAGATGGGGAATGGAGAGGGAGAATGGAGGAAGGGGAGGGAGATGGAGATGGAGAGGGAGAGGAGAGTTCTATCCAAGGAAATTAACTAATTAGCTAGATATATTAACTAGATAAGGTATGCTGGCTAGATAGTTAGTAGCTCATAGGTAGTTTGATTGAAAGTTCTCCCTGCAAGAGAGAGAGAGAGAGAGAGAGAGAGGCCGGCTGGCTTGTTGGGTATGTTATGTGATGGTATGCGTGTTGGAGGGTTGGCTGGCTGGTTGCTTGCTTGGTTGGATGGTTGCTTGGATGTGGATGGATGATGATGATGATGAGGAGCGTGTGGAAGGAAGGGGTGCAGGAAGTGTAATGAGGGAAGAGCAGGGGAAGTGTATCCTGCTGGAGCTTATACATTTTTTCTCGTTCTCCCATGCTTGAGAAGTTCTGGACGGGGAAATGCGGGTCGTTTCTTCGCTCAAGTTGCAGGGAGGGAGAGAGAGAGAGGGACAGAAAGATAGATGCTGCGGAAAGCTTGAGACAATTGATACAAGAGGCCTCTCCAATTCCCAGATTCTCGGCCCTGGGCGCGGTCTTCTTTGAAGAGCTAGTACATCCTCCAGCACTGTCTCAACCTCCGACTCCCACTGGGATCCCAGACACTCGTTCCACGCCAGCCCATCACCTACTATGACCGAAATCACACTGCTCCGGAAAACAGCTGGTTGTCATGAATTCTTTTTGCGTTCGAAGGGTGACCAGCTAAATGATAACAAGGTACAGCCATCTAATGAGAAAAGCCCCTCAAACCCTGTCACACGCACGCCCTTGCAAACCCCAGATCATGATTGCCCAAAGCCCCAACCGGAAAAAGACAACCAATTTATGCAGCAGTGATAGCCTTGCGAGTACGGACACCACGTTGTCTTGAGGTCAAGTGAGCATCACGTCCCTCAACAGCGCTCGACTTTGCGACAACCTCCTCGCCTTCGGTCAGGATGAGTTCGATGTGGCACGGGTTGGACATGTACGGGTTGATCTAGCATGCTGTCAGTCGGAATTCTTGCCTGTTGCACAGTTCTATGGGAACTTACACGACCGTGGGCACGGTATGTTCGGCGGCGCTGCTTCGGGGCTTGGTTGACTTGGATGTGCTTAACAACGAGGTTTCCAGTATCGAGACCCTTGGTATCCGCGTTCGCCTCAGCGTTCTTGAGGAGACCGAGCAAGAACTCAGCGGACTTTACTGGCCATCTAGCACGAGAGACACCGAATTGCTTGCCTGTGCATCACGTCAACATTGCTCTGCTCTGCTCCGTACCAGCCCGCCCCTCTACTCCAAGTAGATCCATGCGTGGAGCGTATGGTGTACACATACCCTGAGACGCGCGACCAGTTCCTCCTGCATATCTTCTCATGGGGACGGCCTCCTTGTGCTCCTGCACGTTCTCGAGGAACTTGATTGCACGCTGCAGCTTCCATCCGTTGATAGCTTGGGCGGTCTCGCGGGTGTTCTTGAAGGAGACTCGCAAGTACGCTCCACGCGCACGAGCTGATTTCGCGGGGTGGATCTCGGTGGCTGCGTATCGAACCTGCAGTTGCTCTCATCAGCGCTGTCCTGGAATTTGACTATCGCATCGAATGGCATCGAGCGTGCTTCGTTCAGCCTCTCCCGGCTCCGAATGCGACTCCCCTAAACAGCGACATGGCAATCTATATTCTCTGGTTTGATCGAAGGCATGGACAGGGAGAGCTCACCATCTTGTCGTTGTCGTTGAAGAATTTGTTTGAGGCGTCGTCACGTCGTCAAGAATTTGCAAAATGAATTGCGGGTGTGGAAGCACTAGCCTCGCTTAGCATAGTGGGTGGGTTGCCAAGACTTCGGGGGCGTGACTGAGGAAAGGCGAGCTGGCAAGGTAAATGCAAACGATACCTAGGTAAAGAGGCCGAAAAATTTCACTTGAATCTTTAAGATTATTCAATCGTCCAGTCCTATCTGTCTTGAGAGTTTTATTGCTGAGCTGTAAGTTGAGCCTCAAGTCAAAGTTCTTCCAGACTTTGAAGCCGATAACTCCCATGAATCCAAATCACACAGGCACTCCCAAATAGCCGAATCCCTTGACAGAACGATTCTATTCACAACAACTGCATATGCATCTATTCTGTATTTATTTCATGGTATAGTACATTCTACAGGACCCCCAAGCCATGGGCGAGCCTTCTCTCTTTCACAGAATCTGTTTCAAGACCTTTTCTCTTGTGAAGTTGGTGTTGCGCCATCTCGAAATGTAATCATCGTGGTTGACTACGTCAAGTTAAAAAGTTATCTCATAGAGAAAAGAATAGAATACTTACTGTAGCCACCGCAAACTCTCCTCTTACCAGTGAATGCAGACCTCCCATGCAGGACTCGCCAGTTGTCAAAGACTATTTCACATCAGCATACGCATCTCCAAGCCAACCATCAAAGCATACTCAGCGGACTCCCCGGCTTCATTTGCGCCCAATACTGCTTCTCCTTGCGGTTCAAGATGTCATTGAACTTGGCAGCAGCTTTATACCACTTCCTAGCTCCCATGCCATTGTCCTCCTTCAACGCTACCACACCTCTATCATTGTTATTCCATCTAATCTGCAGCATTTTCCGGAACTCTCCGTCTTCCAAATCTTGTAGACTCAAAACTGGCATCTTTTTAGCAGGAGTGATGGTGATGCCTTCGTTACCGCTCGCGTGCCAGCTGATGGGCGTCTTGTACAGGACCTCGTAGGAGAAGGGCGATTCTTTGATCAAGGTTTTGACGGCAGCGAAGCCATCGACGAGGAGGGAGGCGCCGCCATCGCCGTCGGTGTGCGAGAGAAGGTGGAACATTTGGAGGCCGGCGGGGTCGGTGAAGTACGTTGTGTCGGTGTGGGCTGGGAGTGCGAGATTGGTGTAGGCAGTGTCTTTCATGGTGAGGTCTGCTGTGAAGTCGTAGAAGCCACCTGGAGATGTAAGTACGACACAAGTAAGGACCGAGGCATGGATATACCGTAGTGGGTGACTCGAATGAAAGCAATCCGCTCGAGGAGCTCTTTGGTAGCTTCAGGTGTAGGAGGACAGCCGTCTACGTAGCAGAATCCATATTTGCGCTGCTCAAATCAGCAAGGCTCTCTCTCTCCCGTTCATCAAAAACAACGGACAATCTTAGCTGTCCACTTCCCAACCCCTCGATCATCTGCCATAACCTCTTCATACTTGACCGAAGGAGGCGCATGTCCAATGGAGGAGTCCCAAAACTGAGTTCTTCTCGGTCTTAGCAGCCTACACCACCACTAGAAACGTGCATGGATGACTTACGGATCAACCTCCTTCTCTTGGTTTTTCAAGGTAACCATGCCGGGACCCTTTTTATGCTTAACAATCCAATCCCAGCTATAAGAACTGACATGTCCATCATTGGCCCCTAACAAATTAGAAAACATGGCTCAACTGGGAAGGGGCACTTGCATGTGATTTTCAAGCCGTCCTTGCCAGCTCGTACCTCCTTCGGTTGGATATCCTGCGGGATCTAGGTACCTGAGTCAACACCAAGCCTTCGACACCACAAGACAACCAATTAGAGACTTACCGCAAAGGTGTCTAAAGCCCTCTGCATCGTCTCCCCGTTAATACACTTCTCACAGCGACAGTTGTCCCTTTAGAGGATCAGCACGTGACCCCGTCTCTTTCCACAGCCGTCACAAACCTCAACCATAAATTCGGCCTAGTTCGTTCACATCAGTTATCATACATGCTGTGGAAACAGGATTCCAACCTACATATTAGAAACCAGGGACCCCTTCGACGTCATCATCTTAATCGGCACACCCCAAGGCCCCCACGTCGGAATTCCCAGCTTCTCATCCAGGCGATCCAGCGGGTCTTCACCCTTTCTCAAAAGCAGACCATCATGATAAGCTTCGGAGAGTATGCGGTGAACGCCTTGCTTCTTAGTGGTCTGTTTAGCTTGGTTGAGGCCTGGGTCTTCTTTACGCAGCGGAGGAGCACTCTCGCTCTCAGCAGTTTGCGCTGGGGGATCAACTTCTGGAAGAGTCTCCGATACGTTTGCTAGTGGAATTCTGTCGGCCGACTCTGAGCTGGAGACGGCATTAGTGGTCACCAAACGTCTGGTAACTCGGCGGGGCAATCTAGGCGCTCGGAAGAGACGCTGGAGGCGCATAGCCATTTTGGATGGTGTTGTTTGGTGTCGTTGTTGAGAGCTTGAGCTTTGACCCGAGAAAAAGGGTGGCCGGCGGCCGATGTGGCCCGCTTCGGAGCCGGTACTTACCGGGATAGTTAATTTTCACTCATGAATAGTGCCGGCAAGTTTATGTTGCGTTTGCTAAAAGGCGTTTGGGTTCCAGATAATAAATTTCCTTTCTTCTCATTCTTTCTAGGCTTTGAATCATAGGTCTTCAGAATAAACTTTCATGTGACTCGACAACACCCATAAGACCACGCAGGGCTCTCTCTACTGCAATGCCGGTGTTCGGAATGGTCACTCACTAATCATGCGAAATCTGGACATCGCTGGGCCATCAGAGTTCAGTATCAAAGAAAATTAATTGTTCATGCAAATAAGCCTTTGTAAGGCAAGTGTCAAAGCCTTGAGTTACGACCTTGTTCCTATTCCCAACATCACATCTAGCCCCGTTCATACAATTGCCCCCTTCTTCATCTAGAACCACTCTCCACCTATCCATCTGTTGAGGAAGTCCAAGGACGCCTCAGGTTGATCCATAGGAACCATGTGGCCAGCACCGAAGATCTGGAGGAAAGTGAAGTTTCCACTGTTCTTGATCTTTCCGTACTTATCGCCGTTGTCAAGCTTGATATCCTTGATCTCGGCCTTGTTGAAGGCCTTTTGTCCAGGCCACTCGAGGGCCTCGGTCCAAGCTTGGTTCCCGAGCCAGTTACAGATGAAGTCGGCATCCCCAGCATAAATCAGGACTGGGATCTGCTCAAGGATACCTGGCACAAGACGGTGGAATGGCTGCATCCAGTCACCTTGAAAGAGGAAGTTTCGGTTGATATCGAAGTTACAGCTGTCGTAGCTGCTGACCTCGACACCCAGCTCCTTTTGGACTTCAGCCTTGTTCAAGAATTCGCTGATCCAGCCAAGAGCAGAGTAGCAGAGATTGCTCGTGTCCTCACATTGTCCTCGAATGTCATAGACGTTTTGGCCGGTTTTTTGGTAGGGACCGATCATGGCGTTGTTGCAGTAGATGCTGGCAGGAACACAGGACCAGACACTCTCACTATCGTAGCAGCTCTGAATCAGGCTCTGACAACGTGGAAGTGCGTTTTCCATAGCCTGACACTCCCCAGAGTCAAGAACAGCTGGGTATCCACCCTCTCCACAGGCCATTGGCTTGTAGTATTCATACTGTGTAAGTCCATCAGTCAAGCCGTTGCCAATCAGGACAGACTTCAGGTTGATGTTGCGCTTCTTGTGCGAGAGAATCTCGGAGGTAAAGACTGGTATATAGTGACCGGCGTATGACTCGCCAGCGATGTGGAAGTCCTGCTTCGCGTATTCCGGGAATTGCTTGAAGAAGAGGGTAAGGAGAGCGTAGACGTCCTTGCCGGCGGCAATAGTGTTGCTGACAGAACCGCCACTGTAAGAGTAGCCGACATTGACTGGCTGGTCAAGGAAGATAACCGAGGCATTTGCATTCCAGGAGTACGGGTTATTATGGAGCTTGAGGTTCTTGTCGATTGAGGCAGGTCCAAGTTCCAGGAAGAGACCGGTAAGGGACGAGCATCCAGGGCCACCGTTGAGCCAAAGAACTACTGGGTCTTTCTCGGGGTCGTTTCGGGACTCGAAGAACCCTGACATTGATTAGTAGTTAATTCTGTGCCGTGGTGAACAGAAGACTTACAATAGAACAGATGCTTATCATCCTCGTCGTCATCGAGGTAACCGCTGTATTGCTTGACAGTGTCGACACCGAGCTTCGAAGGATCAACGTGCTTGGCTCGTAGCTTGTATGATTCGAGCTTTCCGTCAATCTCTCGCTCCTTTTCGCCATTGGCGTTCTCGACCCAGACATTCTGGACATCAGAGCCTTTGACAACGAAGTCCCAGGCGCTGTCGGGCTTCTTGGTGTGTGGCTTTGGGGCGGAGAAGAAGGTTGCCTTCTCCATCTCTTCGGGGAAGTACATGGTAACCTCGTCCCAGATGGCCTTGGCCTCGGCAGTCATTTCTTTCATCGACTCGGCCAGATGGCCGAGCGCCTTTGACCAGGCATTAGCGACTGGCTCCGCAGAATCGTGAAGGAGATTCTGGCCGTCTTTAAGGATAGACTGCTGGTTGGTGATGGTGGCCGAAGCAGCGCCCAGTAGGACGGTAGAGGCGAGGAGCTTCATGATGAAAGCGATAAGGTGGAATAGGATGCCAGATCAAGATCAGGAAGACAGAAGATGGGGAATGTGAAAGTGGGGGATTTATCTGCGGTTGCCGTTCAACCTGGGTCGTTTGTTCACGGAAGGATTGGGGAGGTTGAGTTTGGAGGATGGGAGGAGAGGAGGGGAAGGAGGTCAAGGCGTGTTGGCCTGGATACAGCTCGGCTGCTTGCAAGGTCCTGCGTCCTGCCTGGTCCTGTCGATTACGCCGCCCCACGAAATGACTCCAACTCAAAATGCAAAATGGGGACGGGATAAAAGGTGAGGCGAAGGTAGAGAGTACCTCCATTTTATTGGAGATTCTGGATCTAAAATAGTAAAAGAAATGAGTAGGTAGTAGGACCAGGAACTTGGAACGACGTGCCCTGTCTACGGTAATAAGGTAAGCCTGGGCAGGTAGGTGAACGTGAAGAGGGGTTGCAATTTTTCGTTGCAGCCGTATGAATTTTACTTGATCCCCCACGATCCGCTCAAGTATCAACCGAGTGAGCAACTCCAGGTTACAGTACTTATTTGATTGTACCATAGGTACTCGATGCTTTCGCTACCATATTTGGCTCCCAGATTTCCCGTCCCACTAACGAACGAACCAACTCTCGCAAAGCCTGGACCTCCTCAAAATGCCAATCAACCAGCCCTCAAACCAGATCAAGCTGACCAACGTGTCCCTGGTGCGCCTGAAGAAAGCAAAGAAGCGCTTCGAAATCGCATGCTACAAGAACAAAGTCCTCGAATGGCGCTCCGGGATCGAGACCGACCTCGACAATGTCCTGCAAATCAATTCCGTTTTCCTCAACGTCTCCAAAGGACAGACCGCGCCCTCAGCCGACCTGGCGAAAGCGTTCGGGCCGAAGACTCCCGTAAACGATATCATCCTGGAGATCCTAAATAAGGGAGAGATGCAGGTGGGAGAGAAGGAACGGCATGCGCAGTTAGAGAGGGTACATGACGAGGTGGTGGGAATTGTGGCGAGCAAGCTGGTGGATCCCAAGACGAAGCGCGTGTATACCACGGGCATGATCGATAAGGCGCTGGATATGCTGAGTTCGCAAGGATCGCAAGCCCAGAACGCCGGCAGTGGAACTGGGACGCCGGCGACGGGAGAGGATGGGGAGGCAAAGCCGAAGATCAAGGAGCATGTCTGGACGGGTGTTGTGGCTACGAAGAGCGCGAAGAGTCAGGCCTTGGAGGCTATGAAGGCTCTGATCGCACATCAGCCCATACCCGTGGCCAGAGCGAGGATGAGACTTCGCATCACTTGCCCGACCAGTATCCTCAAGCAAGCTGCAAAGGCCGCTGTGCCAAAGCCTGGCGATGCCGAGGAAGGAGAAGAGAAGACGAAGGGCACCGTGAAGGACCGAATCTTAAGCTACATTGAGCAAGTGGAGACGCAAGATGTTGTTGGTTCTGAATGGGAGGTTACAGGGTTCGTGGAACCAGGTGCTTTCAAAGGCTTGGGAGATTTTATTGGAGGGGAGACAAAAGGTCAAGGCCGAGTAGAGGTTCTGGACATGGCTGTCACACATGAGGATTGAGCGATCCAGACTTCCGTTGTTTATTCGCAATCTAGATTAGAAAGCGAGCATATTCAATGCAATTCACAAAAGCATACTAACCTAGCACTGGAATATGGAAGTTACGAAAGTTTTGGAAGTTTTGTTCACTCAACCAGATGTGGTAGATGACACCCAGTTTCTGCTCAGTGGCGTAGTGTAAAAAAGCCATATGCACCGCGTGAACCCCGAAGCCACACTCCATCCAGCCCTTTATCCCATCGCATAACACGCTTAACCACCCTTCTTCTTGGACACACCGACAGTACGGCCACGACGTCCAGTAGTCTTGGAGTGCTGTCCACGAACACGGAGACCCCAGTAGTGACGGAGACCACGATGAGCACGGATCTTCTTCAGGCGCTCGAGATCTTCACGGAGCTTCGAGTCAACACCGTTGGCCAGGATTTGGGAGTCCTTGCCATCCACGATATCGCGCTGACGATTGAGAAACCAGGATGGGATCTTGTACTGGGTGGGGTTCTGGATGATGGTGACGATACGCTCGAGCTCTTCGGAGGTAAGTTCACCGGCACTAGAGTATGTCAGGGTGTGGTTTCGAGGTCTATAGAATTGGGTACCGTACCGCTTGTTGAGATCGACATCGGCCTTCTTGCAGACCAAGTTGGAGTATCGGCGACCTGAGTAAAATTAGCATGATTCGAGCCAGGGGGTAGAGGGGAACCTGCCAACTCCCTTGATCTTAGTCAAAGCGAACATGACCTGTAAATTGATTAGTATCGAGCGACCTTCCAGTAGGTTTTCGGGTCTGGACCTTTTGCTTTCCCTTTAATTCAAATTTGATGTTAGCGAAAATCTGGGTCTGGGAGTCTGGAAGAGACTGCCCGTACCTCAATGTTTGTATTCAGCAGACGAAGAATCTGTTCCAAGTAAGTGCATGTTCGGAGCATTTGTGGTTGTCGCGGGGGTGGTTTCGAGAGTCTCCAATCTTTTGATATCTGGAAGTGAGGGAGAGGTATCATACGAATTGGAAATTGGACTTTTCGCCTGCGAACTGTTAGCTGGTGCTTGAGCACTCCGCAGAATCGCGGCAGATTGGGGAGGACGAGGTGAGCCAGGCATCTCTGCGCTTCCTCTCGAAATAACGAATGTCGGCACGATGCAAACCTCCTCCACTTCCAGTATTCGTAAGAAAGGTGTATGTTGCTTACCCGTGACGAGAGACATGATGGGCAACTGTGGTCGTTGTCCTTCGCTGTCATGCGGATTTTGTCGTGAGGGAATTCTGAAGTTGCAGTTTCCACGAGGTTTTCAGAATGGCAGTGTGTGCCTTAGCGAAGCTAGGCCTGAAGCAGGTTAGCGCCCGCCTGGGTCTCGTGCCACCGTACTTGGTAAGCCTGCGATCCCTGAAATTCGAGAGACTCCATAGTCAAACCACAATTCTGCGCTGGGCACAATTGAAAGCTGCACTGCAGCTACAACCATTTCTTTAGTTATCAGATGATTCCATATCTCTTCAGCTTCATCGTATCATTTCAATCTATCCATCCAGCTTTCTTTGGCGCTCGGCCTCGAAATAACAAAAAAAATTCATCCATTTCCACCGACATCTTCTGGAAATAGTCAGCAGCTCCGGAAGCAACTGGACTGGTCAAATTGATGCCGTCAGTGTGCCCAGCGGCACATGGGGACTTCTCAAAAGAGCTTCGTTCCATTTGCGGCGCCCCCTCAGACCATCCAGAGATCATACCCGGGCAGCAAAGAGCATTTGTTCTTCCTGCTTTTGCAATGTCACATTCACATGACACTTTTTTAGGCCAGTCCGGTCAGGTGGATCCATCATCATTGGGAGAAAAAATCCACATACCGAAAGTAGTTCCAATGTCACCTTCCACGCGTCGGTCCATTAGGAGATAACGTGAATACTTCTGTTGATTTGGCCATCTGCGAAGTCCTTTGGGGTCGGGGCTTTCGGATCCTTGATTGTGTCGGGGGTCGAACTCGCACTTATTAGCTCACATTTATGGTGAACAAGTCCCTCTCCAAGTACTCTGGTTCCAGCCCTTTTGGTCTTTTCATATTGAAGTAAACCCCTTATTTTACCAAGAGTTAATGTGCCAGTAACTATTGACACCATCATAAGGCAGTTCTACTCTGTATTCCAACTTAAGTCATTCTGCCCTACAGACTCTCGGATTTTCCGCTCTTAGCAGATTCCCTCGCCGCCTCGATAATTTTCAGTACATCCCTCGCCTCACTGGCCTTCACTGGCACCACACTTTCGCCTCCCCCAGCAACAGCCTTCGCAAAACCATTGTATAACGCAGCATACGTTTGGGGCTCAACGTTAGCCAGCACACTTTCCTTCGGCTCGCCGCCCTCTAGCACCACCAACTTTCCCGACCTGTCTATACTCTCAACTCCAAAGCCCTTATCCCCAGGCTTCTCCCCTGCTTTGAGCTGATCCTCCTGGACATCCAAGTGGAACTTCTTGAAGCTTCCCTTCGCCCCTCTAACCCAGTATCGCAACTGCTCAGTCTCAACACACATCACACCGGCTTTGGCAGTGACAAGTGGTCCACCAGCTCCGTACCCAAGCATAACCGAGATACTATCCGGCTCAGCTCCTCCATCATTCCTCTGGTTCGCAAAGATCGCCGTCACAGTCTTCGGAAGTCCGAAAAGCACGTACGCCTGATCGAGAAGATGGGTCCCCAGATCATACACAACACCTCCTGCCTGAGCCATACTCAGTGTACCCTTCCAGGTCGAAGGTCGCTCTGGCTTGTACCGGTCGAAGTGCGTCTCAAATTCTACCACGCGGCCAATGGTGTCCTCCTTGATCAATTTCTTCACAGTCAGGAAATCTGAATCCCATCGTCGGTTCTGGTATACGCAGATCAGCTTCCCAGCCTTTGCTGAGATGTCGATGAGTTGCTGCGCTTCGGCCGATGTAGGCACGAATGGCTTCTCAACCAAGACATGCTTCCCTGCTTCCAAAGCAGACTTTGCAAACGGAAAATGGGTATCGGGGGTTGTGGTTACGACGATGATTTCGAGGGAAGAGTCTGTGAAAAGTTGGTCTGCTGAGTGGTAAATTTTGATCTCGGGATGGTCTCGAGCAGCATCGTCGCTGGGCTTGGGGGTCCGTTGGACGATGGCCGACAGCTTGAAGGAAGGCGTTACTTGGATGAGGGGGATGTGGAAGACCTTCGCGGACATTCTGGGGTTTTATTTCAGCTTCATTGCTCTATGCTGAAGAGGCTTCGGAGAATATACCCATATCCAATCACACCAACATTGTAGGTTTTACTTGACATGGCGGGGTGATCTTCTGTTGCTTGTGATTGTAGCTCAAGATTTGACTGAATTCTTGGTATAAAAAGGACTAGATGAAACGAAAACGAAACAGATAGACGTCGTATCTTAACAAAAGCTTGTCATGCAGTAATGTTATAATCAACAAAAATCAATATCGTCCACCAGCTAGCTGATCATCGACCCCTCACGAGGATGGTGGGGTGAAGGTGGGATGCTGCATCTTCCAAACGCCGACGAAAGGGCCGGACGTACGGATGTTGCATGCGAGCTAACTAAGCCTTCCAAATGCTGGAAAATGGAGAATCATGCTGGGAAATGGAGATATTTCCCTCTTGTAGTCCAGCTCGGCAAATAGGTAGGTATTGAGAAGAGAGTTGGGAAAATATGCCAAGCGAGAGCCGGATCGACGAAGTTCTCGGGTTGGACTGAGGATTGCGTATTCGGCATGTGCTTATTTACATGCTTATCTATACTATACTACTACGTACGTATGAGGTATACTCGGACCCGAAAGTTTACAGTTTATACTGTACAGTAATGCTTTGGTATTGCCTTTTCAATCCCAGTCTATTTACTAGTATATGGGGGGGTATCGGAGACTCATCTGCAGCTAGGTATTGGGCAGAATCCAATTCCCGATTCCACACCTAGGAATGTACTCAAGTTCTCAGAGCCGGTAGGTAATTCTCAAATATCTTATCGGCAAAAAAAAAAATTTATGCACGTCTCCTCTCATCAACACTCCTGATGCAAGATGACCAAGTTTTTCTTTTTTTTTATCACGTGTGTGTCGTCATCGATAAAGCTAGGCTGCTGCCCTGATTGACCTCCCGAAACAATAGAGCTTCACGTCAACAGCATCCAATTCAGATACCCACTTGAGCACCTCTCAGTAAGAACGATGGCAATTCAGCAGCGCGCTTCCGGTCTCTATAGCCGGGTCCGAAGCTTGGTCGACAACTACATTATCAGTCCGTCGAGCAGAGAGAGGTACTACAAACAAATCAGCGCCTTCGTTTCCGAGAACCCAATACTCTCGGTAAGAGCCCCCCCCCTCCTAACTATATTTACAATCAATCACCTCCTCTATGAAAACCGAAGCTAAGACTCCCAGACTTTCCTCGGCACGCAATTGGTCTTCTCTATTATCCCCCTTATCCTCTTCATCACCTTTAGCCTCGGCGTCTTCCTCCTCGCGCTCGTCTCCACCGTCCTCTTCATTCTCTTCTGGACCGGTGTCCTCCTTTTAGCCCTCATATCCGCTGCGCTTTTCGTACTTTTCTGGGTCGTGACTGCGCTCCTTGTCCTGATCCCTGTACTGCTGATTATGGTCAGCTTGGGACTAATGGTTGCGTTCACGGCTGTGAGCAGTTACTTCGTTACGATGAAGGTGTTTGGTGCTGTGCCTGAGGGAAGGAAGGAGGCGGCCTTGCCGAATGGGAAGGTTGCGATTGTGGAGAAGAATGGAGAGGGGCTGGGGGATGTTAATGGCGAGGTGAAGGGATGAAAGGGTAGGAGAAGGTGTAAGACTTCCGACGGAGTAGCGGCGTTGCGAAAATACATGGCATAGGAAAATAGCAAAAAGCACAAGGGCACGGCATGCCCGATTGAGCGCACATGGAGGGCTTTTTCTAGTCAGTCATTCATTCATCCATTCTGCCATGGGGAAAAGGGGGTTACCTGCCTGCCTATGGACATAATTGGCGATGCCGGCGGGAAGCTAAACCAAAAGGTAAGATCGTAAAGTAGTCACGTCAAAATACATGGCGTGAAAAAAATCACACTTCGTACACCTTGGAAGAAATACTGGAACCCATTTCTCTGCCAGCTAGCTAGCTGTCTAATCAAGAGCGATTGTCCCACTAGGAATAGCCACCTTCCCATCATGACGAAGGCTATTGCGAACAGTCCGTCTCGTCTATTTGCATCCATTGCAATTTCATCTCTACCGCTTCTCTGCCACGTTGGCAAACATTTTAATCGGAACCTTCAAGCATCGGACCCTCAAGTGCAAAGGCTTTCATGGTAGCAAATCCAGAAAACCCACATCCCTCGTGTGTTTTCCTAGTACTCCTTCATCAAACCCATCCCCTAAGGCTTTCCGTTGACCTTCCCGTTGCTCTTGCCGTTCGGCGTGCCATTTGCCTTGCCGTTCGCATGGCCGTTGGTATGACCGTTTGTCTTGCCGTTAGCAATACCATTGGCGTTCCCGTTTAAGTTCCTATCAACGCCCTTCAACGCATCCTTCGCCGCGCCTCCCTTGATATGCTCAGGCCCCACGGTCCTCTGGGTGTTTCTTCTCAAATACGACTTAACGAAGAATCTTGCAAAAAGGAAAGTCAAAGGCGTCAAGTAGAAGACGTTCAACCAAATCGCGAAGGTCTGGCCGCTCGTGTCGATACACGGGACGGTCTGGTACTCGGTACGGTATTGAATGCCTCCTGATCTGAAGGATGGCACAGCGTGAGCGGTTGGTGCTGCGCCGTTCACGTTCTCTGCAAGACCTTCTTCTCCTACAGCCCGGTACAGGAACTTCATGATCGTCTTTCCGAAGCCATTGGAAGCTGCGGTTGCGACAGCAGATGAGGCTGCGGCTGTAGCAGCTGTTACGGTGGTCTTAAGCGTGGATTCGACATCCGCGACCTGGACTGGGATGGTGTAGGAGACGAAGGAATGGAGAGCGGCGTAGCTAAATCCAACCAAAAACTGAGTGATTTGCATGGTTGTGAGAGACTGCTTAATGGATTGCGGAACATGGATGGAGAATGCCGCCAAGGTGTAGTAGGTGTACTATGAAAAACATTAGAAGGTTTCTCAATCGCGGAAGGAAAGGAGTAGTAGTACCATCATGGCATGAATTGCCGAATTGACAAAGACAAACATCCAGATTGGTGGAGACATGAACCGAATGCCAGCCCACATGCACATCATAGCTCCAGCGTGGTGGTACTTTTGAAGAGTCGAGCTTCGCTTTCCCTTGGCCAAGATGATAGCAGTGTCCAGGACCTCGTAGAACTTGCTCAAATAGAACAACCAGCCATAGAAAGCCAAACCCTCGTTCCACAGCCTACCCACATCTGTACCGGCTGGTGTGCCTGCCTCGCTGAGAAACACTGACGGAGAAGTCGAAATCCATTGGGAAATTGCGGGGTTGTAGCTGACCGCATTTCCTAGCCCATGCGGCCCATGCATCTTGCACAAGCTGTCGACCAACGGTGTAATGTTCCCAAAACCATTCCAACTTGGTAGGACTCGCTGCAGAGCGCCAAACATTCCAACAAAAGTCCATGCGGAGTAAAGGGCCAGAAAGACGTTGTGCGCCACCACGAACCAGAAAAACGGCTTGGTCTTGCTGATAGCCCATGGCCTCATTCCCCGATCGCGGTTGGCCTTGTTCAGAATTGTGACTGTCAACGCGTACACAATAGCGACGGTGACGGGGACTTTAACATCGAGCGCGGCATTGTAGATCGAGGGGGGTATAGAGATTGGAGGAGCGAAGAGCGTGGTTCCGGCAGTGGGAGGGGGAAGAGCCTGAGGATCGTTTCTCGGAGGCAACTGGAAGAGCTTGGAATCGGGGAGGGAGAACATGACCTTTGCAGAAGACATCTTTGCTCAGCGCTTGAGCGGTTTCCGTCTGATCTGGTCTGGTCTGGTCTAGTCTGGTGGGTGGATGTTGCAAGAATCCGAGAATCCGAGATGCCTCTGTTCTCAGTCGTCGACCGTAGATGTGAAAGTGAAAGAAGGTATGAGAGGAGAAAAGTGATTGCTGCAGAGAAGCCCAGAGCTGCTGCGACCGAGAGTAGGCGATTGCGAGGAGGAGGAGAGGTTTTTTTTTCTTTCGGAGGGAAGCTTTCTATGGAAGTAGAGAAAGTACTAGCGCGCACTTTCAACCCGACCAGCCCACCGGACCCAACCAAAGCATTCCAGAGCAGGGAAGGGAAGGGCAATACGATCTACCGAGGCTGGCTTTGTAAGGAGATAGAAGGAGATAGAAATATAGAAGACAGGACAGGATCGGGATTGGGGATGCTGGTACTTTTCACCAGGATCGTGGGGATGCAAAAGAAAGAAGAAAAAAAAGTGTTGAACGGTTTTTTGGGTGATGGATGGATGACGTGAGTGGGGCCCTCGGAGCTGAGCTGAGCTCGCTTAAGCCAAGAAGCAGGGGCCCTGCATGCCGTGCATGATAAGTACGCGGAATCTTAAAAGCATACACCGATCCACCTATCCATCGATTCACCTATCCACCTATCTACCAATCCATCCTTCCATTGCAAGCCGCCACTATGCTCAGCTTCTCAACAAAATCAACAACCATATAATATCTTATTTATATCTTTGGGACAGGTGCATACGTTGAGTATCAACATGTGTATGATTGTCTGTATATGTAGAGTACAGACTGCATGCAAGTATGTGGTGATTCTTAGCTAACCTCTTGTCCCTTGATAAGATGCATGGGAGTTGCAGAGCGGTTGGGAACCATCTCACTACCTAGTGGGATCACTGCATATCCTCTCCATTCGGACCATTCGGACCATTCGGAGTGATATCTCCATGAGCAATTCGAGAGTCAACTACCCCCTGGGCACAATGGGCAGCCATAGGCGTTCGTACCATTCACAATGCGACTCTGCCTGCCGAGTGACTTAACTACCGGCGTTATCTCTTTCTTTTCTCCTCATCCTATCAACCCCTCGGCTCAGTCGTCTACCCGCTTCATGCTCCTCGGTTCCAGTGGCAATTTCCTTGCTGTAGATAGCCCTCTCGAACATTTCAAGCGCAGCCAAGGGTTGTTAGAAGGGGACTTCATAGCCAGACTCGTAGACTCAGACGAAGGGGAAGTTGCCGGCCTGCTTCACTTGGCTGTGGATGAGAGCGTCGCTGGTCGTGACATTCACGTATCCAGCGCCGTCGAAGCCTGGGGCCTGGACTTCTTCAATGTCGACTTCCCCGCCGAGCCAGTTGCAGCTGTTGCAGTGGGACTGCGGCGAAACAAGGTGGACCTGGCCCTCGGCATTGCGTAGCGACACTTACCAGTCACCTCTAACTGCTAATGCAATGCAAACCTTGGTATTTCGTACCAGAACTCGTTACATTTGACAGCTTAAACTTTCTACAACCATAAGCTTTGAAAGGTCAAGAAAGATGATAGACCGTTATGACCATGTCATTTTTATATTGTCATTTAATTGAGCCAATTAAGGCTTAAATATAGAAAGTTGGCTTTCGCTTGACTTTAGAAGAAGTCTTCAAAAAAGGAGCGCCTTCAGCTTTGTCTTTTGTATCTAGGTCTGTTAAACAAGCAGATTTAAGATTGACAGTTTTAATCAGCTACGTCCCCGAAGATCGAACCAAAAAAATACCGGCTAACGTTTGGTTTTTTTTTTTTTTTTTTTTTTTTTTTTTCTTTTCAAAGTATTGACCCTTAGTTTTGGTGCGAAAAGTGGTTTTATGCGTTAGCAGTTAGCTCTTACTGTACTAGAGCGTCGAGGGTCATTGAGGCGTACGGAGCTTTCAATCAGCATCTCTGGCATAAAGCATAGATGTGATACCCTGCTGCAGCGATTTCCTTAGAGCACTAACAGTCTCATATTCGCGGCTATCATTACCCGTCGAAGTGGAAGCTCCGTAGACCGCATTCGAGGACAAGGTGTGTAAAGTTGTAATATTCCTGATGCTGGATGTAAGGGTCATACCAGCCATTCCTGTACGGGAATCAACTTGGTTCTTGCAATTTTCCACTGGCTTGCGAGTTGGGATCGGTGTAGCCATCGACAGGAACGCTACACGAGAGTCAGGTCTCCGTAGTGTTGTTAGAGGTCCCCCAAAGCGACAATACTCACGGATGACTTTTGGGCACACCTGGGTCGGCTGATCAATATAGATCATGTTACTGGCTTTGAAACATGGATATGGATTGCTATACGCCTTGCCATCGATATCCACTCCACAAGGCAGGCCTATCTCTTGGAATAATCCAATCATGAAAGACGATCCATGCCGTCAGAGGAGCCTCTGAAGGGTCTGTGTTCCTCGATTCAAAGAACCAGAAAAGAATATTCTCATTTTTTGAAGACATCGATATAAAAAAAGTACCTAGCTCCTGACGCTCGGATCGAGTTCACAGATACCTCCTGAAAGAGTCATATTGATAGAGAAATAAAAACCGAGACGGGGATATTGAAGAGACGGAAAACGGGCGCTAAGACAGCTAAAGTGCCTTCCTAACTCCCAAGCTTCAAGGATGGGTGGGGTACACAGCTTACGGTAAGCTTTTCAGGAAAGCTTTTCTGCAGCAGGATATATATATGCCTGCTTATTCTGGACTGGCAATGCCTGTCCGGAGAGGTTCCACGATTATTGGGATTTAAAGATGTCATGATTTCAACTGTCCTTGAACATAACAGCTAGTTGCAAAAGGCCGGGTGGCATCGTGGTGACCTAGTAACAAGTGGCGAGGGTGTAGCCGACGATCAGATATGTTTCTCGTTTAAGCCAAGTTCATATTTGCGGTACGTGGGAACCTGAGGGAATGGGAAATGATGTACTCTGCTCATCTCACTGGTATGGGTGTGAGAAAGATGAGCCAATGCCATAAGATATGTAGTAACCCAGAGCCCACGACCTCTAGGGAAACACGCAGGAGATCACGAATTGTTCCAAAGTCCGCAGGCACTTCTCCAGAAACACCTCAACGCATCAGCTGCTGCCAGTGCCTTATTAAAAGAGCTTGTCAAAGAGTCGGTCTATTTTTCAACTTTTAACATCGATCATCACTTCGACTTTTACGTTTTGATTGGTTAAGCGGCGCGAGCTCTCTCAGATATAATCTCTCGATCGAGTCTGAGAAAGTGAAAAAAAAAAAGCAGATTTCGAAATCAACAGTATCGAGACTCAATGCCCGTAATTCACCCATTTACCCCTTCGCTCCTCCCTTCTCGCTTCCCTCTTCCCACACACACAAAAAAAAAATTAAATCTACTCTATAGAAGCGAAATCTGCCCCAACTTCCATCAACTGCGAGGAATGGCATGGTGGTTTAGTGGCTATGAGCCGCTGGCCGCTTCCAAGTACACCTGTTGATAACGAAAAACCTATTCAATTAGGTTTGTAGACTGGAACCTCATACCATCATACCCATGAATTGAGTTTCCAGTTGATTTTTGCTGAAATTCCGTAGAAATATTTTTTTCTCTCCTTTTTTTTTTCAATTTTTTTCGTAGTATTCTCTGTATCCTATCTAATAGTGGAAGTTGGTCAATCTCATAGCTTTAGCAAGCCATAGAACATATACCCACCCCCATATGTTTTCCATGCGGCAAGGCTTCATTTCCTTTAATTACAGCCCTGGCACTTATCCTTTTCACAGTCGGGTCTACCTACCTACCTACGTAACTTCGTAACTGATCCCGATCCCAGCCACCTATTAAAACAAACTAGCATCGTCCCAGAGCCCAGAAAGATATTGCAAATAAAGAATAGAATTCATCAAGTACTGATAACCCAACCCCCCTCCCATTCCACTAACATTCTCTACAAACAAAGCTCTCCTCTTCTCTTCTCCATACATTCTCCTCGGCCTCCTTCCCATCCCCTCGTCCCAACAGCTACATTGCAAGCACCACAATGTAGAAGCAAACGCTCGCACCTAAGAGGTAGCATCGAAAGAAACAGCAGTCGACGCCTGCCCAGCGCTCGCCTTATCAGCCGCAATGCTCTTGGCAAGCTTAGCCTGCACGGCCGCGAAATCACCGCCGGTTCCGCCCTGCGAGGCCTCGACCTGGATACCAATCACCTGGGCCGTCAGCTTCAGCACCTTGTTGGCATTCTTGCCGACCTCGAGCGCGTCGGCAGCAGGCCCGGTGGCGGCGGCGATGGCTGGGTTGAAGGCATTGACCTCGGCGTCCTCTGCTGCGTTGTAGATGCCCTTGATAACTTCCAGGTCGTTGGCTGTGACCTGCGTGAGGTCGCTTGGAAGGCCGGTGAAGAGAGCTGCGGCGTTGGCTTCGGCGGAGCCTGCTGTCCCTGAGGAGATCTGGAAGTCGTTGTAGGCCGATGGCTTTAGAACGTCGGCTGCTGAAGCGGCGGCTGTTTTGGATGTCAGTACTGCGAGTCTTGAGTGGATTGGAGGGAGAAGGTGGGGGGTTGAGGGCCTTCGAACCTTTTGGGTCTTTGGACGAGCCTTTCGAGGTAGCAGGGGTTGCCGCTGAGCGTGGGGCAGAGCTGGTGGGAGTTGCATCTGCGTTCTTCTTGGGAATGAGCGATGAGGCGACAAGAGCGAAGAGGCCGAAGGCAACGATAGAGTTGGTGAATTGCATCTTGAAGGTTTTGAGTTGGTTGACTGGTTGATTGGTTGGTTAGGTAGGAAGAAAGTATTTTTTACTCGTTAGTTAATGCTGAATGAAGCCCGAACAGAATAAATATAGTATAAATGTAAAGACAGTGTAATATTGATAAGAGATAGATCAACTGATGAAGAGAATGTAATAGTGACAAAAAAATTGCTGAAGAGCGTTGATAGAGAGGAAAAAAGACCTTCTAGTAAAGGCGACAGATCACTTATATACGTACATAGGAGGCTCCGAAAGTCTATAGCATGAACTACTTTCGACCCGCCTCCCCGTCTCATCTCTGTATCTACCTCTCACCACCGAGTCGTCCGTCCTACTTGCAGCAGGCCATGCTTTCCGTCTCTGAAAGGCGTCTGGCATAGGACATATCCGAAATGCTTGAAACCGCACCGGACACAACCTCACGCGGTAACATCTACCCCAAATAAAGGGCGGCACGGCCCATTTTATTTTCAAACCCAAAGTCTGCTGAATCTTGGTTCCCGCCTGGGCAAATCTCATTCGAGAAAGATGGCGATGGGGTTTCAGCCTGGCAAGAGATGCTGGTATTGCGATTTCATGCTCTTCGTCTGGAGGCGTGAAACCCGGGAGGGCCGCATCTCCACGACTCCTCGTGGACGAAAGCAAGAAAGTAGAAGCAACGACGAGCCTAGGATGGATGGCTGAGGATCTGCGGCTGGTTCAGACGAGCGGCTAGAGGCAGGAACAGATGAGAGTGGAGAGGGCACGTCGAGTTTGCATTTAAGGTTTTTCGCTTGTGTAGGCCCGGGGCTAGCAAAAGCTTCGCATATGTACCCATGTGCCGCGCAGTCGTGATATCTGTTGCAGACCTGGTGTAGGTATAGTAGAGAGTAGAGAAGACGTAAATGAAAGGCATGGAAGAATATCTTCGGTCATACTAAGAGCATGTGCATAGATTATCTCTAAATGGGGAAGAATGGTCTATCTATTTTTTTTTATTAATAATTGTCTCTCGATCTGTAGGCACACTTCAACCGGACCAGGATATTTACCATGACACGTGATACATGGCCATCAACTGTATTGCTGCAGCAACTCTATGCTATTTGATATTTTTTAGAATCACGAAGACATTAGCTTCTTGAATGCGTAGGATAGAATACGCTACCAAACAGCGATTTATAATATGGTTGGCCATGTTCATGCAAGTCTCAAAAATGGAAGGTTTCGTTATAGTAGCTCTCAGATTTGGTTTCGTGACCTTAAAGACCCTCATACCTCTCTTAGAACTGCATTTAAAATTTTCCTGGCACAAAACAAACGTGACTATGCCTCCCTGTGAACTCAGCACCGAGCCGCTGGGATCCCAAAGTAATCCACAACATGTCTCTGTCCATACGCCAATTCGCACCTCTGCCCAGTTTACTGAGGAGCAGCGTTCTTGGCCTCCACACCCAACGAAAATCCGCCGATAAAACCCTCCATGCGACCCCGTCATGATTGATACGTCCAGTCTGTCTCGTCGCAGGTGATGCAATTCCTAACATCGTCTACGTGACAGGAACTCAAAGTAATACCTACATTCAATGAATCAACTTTCATGATTCTCCAGGTAAGTTCCTCATCCTGTGTAAATGTGGTGTCTTTCAATCAAAATACGGTGATACTCTTGAGGTTTGGAAGGGGATCAGTGCCTATCTGAAACAGCTCTGATTACTCTGATTGATATGGTATTAGTTGGGCTGTCTTTGGTAAAGAGAACGAACAGAGACTTCAGAGCAATAAATTATGGTCCAAATTTGATCCCCAACATGTCCACATATAATTCAATTGCGGCTAAAATTTGATCAACCCTCTCTTTGACCCTTTGGATTCCAATTTTCGACCACATTGCAAGCTTTTAAGGAACGTGGCTCGGTATCGTGCGAGTTGTCTATCTCAGGGCTCGGTTTTGGTGTTTGTTTACTCCTTCCTTGGCGAGCCTCGCTACGCCCCTTCCCCTTCCGACCTGCCCTGCGGGGTTTCAACTTGCTCTCCCATAACAACACATTCAATTCTTGCCGCCAAAGGAGAATTATTGCAAATTATAGTCCTTAAATTGGTTCTCGTCACACTATCTTATGACTACATAATTCCTTGATACTTACTTCGATATCTCTCTCCACGACGACAACGACAACGACAGCACAACAGCTTCACAAACTCTGTGGCTCTATCTATCTCACAATACCCCTCTCGCTCCTTCATATCTCCCGTAACTCCAGTCGTCTATGACCTGTCTCGCACAAGTGTCAACTTGACACTACTCACGGTTACCGATTCGGCTTTGCAATTTGGCTGCCACCTCCAACTTACTTTTCGATCTCGCAGATAGCCATACACAACATTGATAAGGTAAGTCATCCACAGGTGACCTTCAGATTCTTCAGTCTAAAACCTTCTGAGAATAAAACGTCCTTTGCTAACGTCTATCAGAAACATAATTTCTCACAGTCCATCAACCCGAGCAGCACCCCCGAGCTCAACTACACCTACATCCCTCATCACCTTTGGGAGCAACTCTACCTCCCCATTTTGGGGAACTTGCAACTATCTAGCTATCTCACCTTTTATGGTCGACACCTTCCCATGGCCACACGTCAATAATATCACCTACCTCGATACGTAATAACATCTGATCTTCAAGATGCCTCCCAAAAAGCGACTTGCTCCCGGCGAGGAAAGCGAAAATTTCAACCCCCTTGACACGCAACTACCCCAGTCCAAGGCTCAAAAAGGTCCCGGTGGCGTTCGTCTAAAGACTGCAGCAAAAGCTGCCCCGAGCACCAAGACAAAGAGCCACAAGCTGCCGCCTAAGGAGTCAAAGAAACAGAACAATTTAATCAGCGAGGTAATCGATCTCGATCAGATCGAGCATGAAAAGCCTTATCGAGAGCAGCTCCACCGAAAGCCAGAGGTTCGCATCAAAAAAGTGCCACCACCGACTGGCAAATTTCCGCTCTTTACAGACGGAGATGTTATCATTCATCTTGAGTGTAAAGGCTGGTTATCCACATACCAGCTCCATTCTAGTACGCTCGTTCATGCCTCGGCATGGTTCGGGGAGACCGTAGATTTGGACATGAGTATGCTTGAAGCCGACCCTGTTAGAGGCGCCAAGATGCAGAAACGATACAAAATCAAGGCGAGATATGAGCTGAAGGTCAACCCAGACTTGAAGGTTTATCTTCTCAAGAGAGGCGTAAGTCGACATCCCGCATTCTCCAAGCGCGTATAGTGCTCTGTGCCAACAAATTCACCTGGAATGCAGGGCATAATGCTAACTCTCTACTGCAGAGCTTCACATACTTCAACGAGCAAGTGCCCTCTAGACTGGGATCAAGTAAGGCCGGACCTCAAAAGTCTCTTGGGCAAGCCCTGCAAGCCAAGATGCCTGCGAGCGACGCTGCAGTCAAGAAAAGTATTTCACAGAGTGCAGCCCTTGAAGTCATAGATGAAGACAAGCATACCCACCAGCCGGTCATCAAGGATGGAGTTTCAGAAATATCGAGATCTGCGGGAGAGCCCAGCGAAGCAAAGAAGATCGCCGAGTCCGTCGACAAGCCAGAGCAGCCTACAATTCCTAAGAGCGTGACCGACATGGCCCGGTTATCGATATCTGAGAGTCCCGTCAATGTCGGATCTTGTGATGCTTCTTCATCTTTCGAGGGTAAGCCCATTGAAAAGGAAGAGGTTACCACAAATTCGGCGCTGGATATCGACACGGCCATGGTGGACAACTGTGGAGAGTCAACCAACGTTCATGCTCTGGCCTCTGACACTGTTGAGAGTGCTTCTGTCAAGAGTGACAACGACACCACGATGACCGACATTCCCGAAGATACTGTACCTGAAGGTAACGACACTCACATGAGCTTGCCTATCATTGGAAAGCCTATGGAGGCATGTGGTTCTGGGATGGACTCGGCTCTCAAGGAGGTAGCAACTTCAACAACTCTGTCTCCCACGGCCCGATCTCAAATCGCTGCCAGTCTAACAACTGATACGCCAGCCCTGGCTTCCGAAGATGCCGTCACGACAGAGCCTCCAGCTCTAGGCCCAATGTCTGCCGAGCCGGAAAACACAGATGTTCATGTTCCAGCTCCAGCCTCGGCGATGGATGGAAATGCCGTCGCTGAGAAGGAGAAACTCTCCGAAAAGGAGCATGTCGACACAGAGAAGTCCTCTGCTCTCCCAGCTGCTACGGCCAAAGAACAGCTTCCCCAGAGCAGCACACCCGCGGGCCCGGTCCAACCAACTAGCCAAAGCCAGGGAACCGCAGAAGCCGAGTCTCCCAAGTCCACAGCCATCGCAATCAAAGGTCGGATCGTGAAGAGCCCGAGAGGAGTTACCAAATTCGCGATGGCGACCAATCACTTTGTGGCGCGACCACTCGCAATCAGAAGTGGACACGACTTCGCATTTGCCCACCACAACCTCTTCCTTGCATATTACAACCTGCCTCTGACGATCAGCACTGTCGACATCGACTTCGCCCTAGACCACGCAGAGCTACTTATCGATGTCGCCCGTCTATATGGCTCAATCCCCATGGTTCGATCGCACATTACCAGCGCGCTCATGAACTTTGGCCGGGACCTCTACCTCGCTATCATGCACGACCCACCTCGCTGGATGCAGCTCGCATACTACCTTGAATCGGCTCCAATCTTCAGAGAGGGACTGATCCACGCCGTGGGAAGCTATGGATGGTGGCCCTGGTCGTCCTTCCACCCACCCGAGATGTTCGCTCAAACCATCGAGGTGATGAACCGAAAGCTCAGCGAGCTGGAGGCCTTGAGATCTGCTGCTGCCGACTCTCTCGACGCGGCCCAGCTCCAAGTAGGAGATGTCGATCTGACAGCCGATTCACTCACAGCGGCCACTGCGGACATCTGGTCAGTCGGGCAGCAATGGAAAAGCTGGTTCAACGGAGCTCTGGCAGAGGCTGACAGCAAGGCTCCCCAATCCAACCCCAACCTCGAACACACCAGGCGACTGGATCACGCGGGCGTCTATCGCTTGATCTTGAAGGGCGGAGATGCATACTTGCCACTTGAGGAGGTTCTCGATCGAATCGAAGCCATCAAACCAGATGGCGCGAAGGTTCCATCGAAGGGTCGCGAGGTAGAGAGAACTCTGAAGACCATGAAAGACTATGCCCAAGAGCAGGTCGCAGCCCTTTGTGTGAACAACTCTATGCTCCCGGTGGAAGAGGTCGGAATCGACTACTTCACCTGCATCAACTTGAAGGACAGCGAAATGCCATGGGTCAAGCCTCGTGGTGCGACTGTCCCTAAGAGAAAAGTTCAATCTTAATTACAATAGAAGGTGCACGAAAGAGGCTTACGTTCAGTTATTGGACATTGACATCGCCATTCGTCCCTGGCTTGGATGCACGAGCCTGGATATCTTCCTCAAAACGGAATCCCTGGAAGGGTGGCTGCTCGGTACTTACCAGCAGAGTGTCAGCCACGACGTTCAGCTGCAAGTGTCGACTTCGGTGGTCGCTTGCGGGCATATACTTTCGATGATTTCTCCTTTCTTCGCCCATCTCATCATGCACACAACCTTCAGTTTCCATATTTTTTCTTGCTGAATCATTTACAGAACAAGTTGACGATCGTGGAGATCATACACAAACCTGCAAAAGCCCCCTTTCCTCCAGAATCATACATAGCATAGTTAGGACAAATAGAAACAATGCATCAAAATCAAATCGGATTCAGACGCCGCCCATATGCAATGTGACCCCCGACGCCTTGCTAAATGACATCTTGCTCGCGCAGCCTCTACGACTTTTTGATTTCCGGCCCAAACAGATCATCAGCAGCAGACCTCTCCATTTCGAGTTTTCGCTTCTTGATGATCTTCTCATCTTCACCCTCCTCCCCCTCTCTCTTCTCGCGCTGCAACTTCACCAAGTCCATTTTCTCTGGATTCCTGCACAGCTTCAGTTTCTTAGCCAAGACCTGCAATTCCTTCCTATCGACAGCAGAAGGCTCTGAGCTCGGATCGACAGTCTTGAGCATCGCAGCACACTTTTGCAGTGCACCGAATACCTTGTGCTGCACATCCCCCGCAGAAGCAGGAATCTTGATCTGGATGTACCACTCCAAGAGCTCGGAATCCGCAAGCATCAGCGCTGCCATCATGATCTGGCTCGGCGTGAAGTGAAAATAGACATCCGTCAACAAGGCGCTCGTCTTCAGGTAATCCCTAGCCTTGCCATGTGCTTCTTTAACTCTTTTCCCCATATTGCGTGGCCGGTCTCCGTTGAGCTTTTCTCCGCCAGGAAGGGCAGGTATATTTCCCAATGACATAGCTTGTAACTCCATGACAGCCCCCTCCAAAGCTCGGAACGGGTGACGTACATCGAACGTGAACCTCAGGCCTTGCGTAAGTAGGAATTCAGAGGCAAGCACGTCTTCTGGCTTCGTCTTGCCGATGGCATCTGCGAATTTCGTAAGACGGAAGTAGTGGTTCTCGGTCTTGGTAGCGAAGAAGAGGGCGGTTTTCAGGATGTCGGTCGGGTGGTAGGTCATGAGAGAGTTGGTGAGGTAGAAACGCTTTATGTATTGGATTGCCGTGGCCTGCTTTTGCATGAGTCTCATTTCTCGTGGTAGATGTATATTTCCTAGGTCTGATTTGATTGTATGCATACCTTGACATCCGTAGGCACTTTCAAATGGTCCCCCAGCTTCATAGTCTCCCTGCAATAGAACGCTACAAGCCTCAGCTCCTCATCCACCGTCAAGCAGTTCACCGGCCCCTCCGGCGGGAGCCCATTCTCTGCTTCACTCGTGTCGGCTGAGGAGATGATGCGAGCTTCGCGCAGGCGTCGCACGGCTTCGCGAACGCGGTCGGCGGCCGTTTGGTTTGTGGTTGAGCGCAGCGCGTGGAGGGATTGAGGGGTGTAGGACCAGAGACGGTACTGGGTCGATGTCCGGTATCTCTCGTCTTCTGACATCGCGCAGGTTGTGCGAAGCTTATTATGTAGGGATAGATGTCTGTGTTGTTTGTTTTGGGTGTCGACAGCGCGTCGCAATATGTTGACCTGAAGACCGAGGTGTCGGCTAAAAGTCGGGTCACTTTCTAAATATCGCGAGAGATTCGGCGGAAGGGTCTGCCTGTTCAATGACTAAAACGGGTATACGCTACTTGCTTTGCAGAAATTTGATAGAGAACATACGCAGAATCGATGCGAAAGATGGTTTGTATCTATTTTTCCATCACAAGTGCATGGGAACTATGTTAGAAATGATTTGAAATTCTATCTGCCACTTTTATGCATTAATGTCTATCTACATTATAGCTGCACCATCAATTTCTGAACAATGCGATTCAGTCCTTCCATGCGCCTAAAACGCCATCGCTTTCGCAACAAACAACACCCAATTTCATTTCTCATTATTCATAACCCTCTCTCTGACACTCCCAGAAAGCCCTCAATCGTAGAGAGCCGATTCCGGATCATCATCTCCCAAAGCATCTGCAACATCAGCATTATCCATATCAACATCCTCGCTCGAGCTTTCCTCGGAATCATCGTGGTTACTGAGAACTCTGATTCTGTTGGAATTATCCATAACCACTCTAGCCCTCTCTCCGTCCTTGATGGAACCTCTGAGGATCAAGACCGCAAGCTTGTTCAGAACCTCCGTCTCGATCAGTCTAGCCAAAGGTCTCGCACCGTAGCTTGGGTGGTACCCAGCAGATCCGAGCCAATCTCTAACAGCAGGCGAGCAGTCAATCATGACATCTCTGCCATTGCTTGACAGACGCTTCTGGATCTCCATAAGGCGCACATCGACAATCTTGCGGATCTCAGCCTTGGAAAGGCGATTGAAGATGATAGTCTCGCTGATACGGTTGAGAAATTCGGGCAAGAAGTAGTCTTCTAGTGACTTCTTGACCAGAGCTCGGGTAGTGTCATCGATCTGGCCATTGGCGGTGGTGGCACGTTGGAGGTACTCCGCACCGATGTTGGATGTCATGACCACGATACAGTTGCGAGCATCAACGATTCGTCCTTGACCGTCGGTAATACGACCGTCGTCCATGAGTTGAAGGAGAATTGTGAGCACCTCCTTGGCGGCCTTCTCAACCTCGTCGAAGAGCAGGATCGAGAACGGCTTTCGGCGAAGAGCCTCTGTAAGTTGCCCACCTGCGTCATGTCCGACGTAACCAGGAGGAGCACCAATCATCCGACTGACAGTGTGGCGTTCTTGATACTCGGACATGTCGAGTCGAATCATGGCTTTGGGATCATCGAAGAGGAACTCGGCAAGGGCCTTGGTGAGAAGCGTCTTACCAGTACCGGAGGGACCACAGAACAGGAAACTTGGAGGTTGGTTTGGGTTGGCCAATCCAGACCTCTGAAGACGGATCTTGTCGGAGACGGCTCTGACGGCCTCTCGCTGACCAACTACGATCTTGGAAAGTACCTTCTCCATATGCAGGAGCTTATCCTTCTCGGTGGTCTTGAGTCTCGTCACAGGAATACCAGTCGAGCGAGCAACGATCTCGTTGATCTGGTCCGGGCCAACAATGTCTGTAATGAGTGATCCGCCGGAGTCGGGATTGGATGAGCTCAAGGCCTGGTCTGCATGCAATTTTTCTTTCTCCAACTGCTTGATGAAAGCCTCTTGCTCGGGAATGGCGTAGTACTGCAAGTCGGCAGCCTTCTGGTCATCGTTCAGACGGATAGCCTCCTCCTTCTTGACTCGAAGCTGATCCAGCTTGACCTTAGCTTCTTGAATAGCCCTGCTTCGGTTCTTTTCGCTCTCATACTTCTCGCGAAGAGGCCTCAGCTCCTCCTCAACATTGCTGGAGTCTGCCTTGGCTTGTGCGAGACGAGCCTTTGAAGCCTCGTCCTTCTCTCTCGACAAAGCATGGATTTCAATCTTCAATTGCTGAAGTCTGCGGTTGAGGTTGTCGAGTGCTTCAGGTAGTGATTCTCGCTCAGTCTTGACTGCGGCGGCAGCCTCATCAATCAGGTCCACGGCGGAGTCGGGGAGTCGTCTCTGGGTGAGGTATCGTGCAGCCAAGGTAGCAGCAGCAACGATGGCTCCATCCGAGATCGTGATACCGTGGTAGACTTCGTACTTCTCCTTCAGACCTCGGAGGATCGATATGGTCTCGGGAACCGTAGGCTCCTTAACGAGAACTTGTTGGAAACGTCTCTCAAAGGCCGCATCCTTCTCAATATATTTTCGATATTCTGCAAGAGTTGTGGCACCAATGCAGTGAAGCTGTCCTCGGGCAAGCATGGGCTTCAACAAGTTGGCAGCATCCATGCCACCCTCGCCGCTGGATCCAGCACCCATGAGAAGATGCATCTCGTCGACGAACAGAACGATGAATTCCTTCGATTGCTCAATCTCGTTCAAGAGACCCTTCATTCTCTCCTCGAACTCTCCTCTGTACTTGCTGCCGGCAACAAGCGAACCGACATCCAGAGAGAGCAGTTTGCACGTAGCAAGGTTGTCGGGCACATCATTGTTGACAATTCGCTGAGCAAGACCCTCGACAACAGTGGTCTTGCCCACACCAGGCTCTCCGATCAAGACTGGGTTGTTCTTTGTCCGTCTTGACAAGATTCGGACCACTCGTCGGATCTCCTCCTCTCTGCCAATGACCGGGTCAATCTTGCCCTCTCGTGCCGTGGCAGTCATATCGATGGTGAACTTCTTCAGATTCTCAAACTCCTCCTCAGTATCGGCCGTCTTCGAGTCCACTCTGCGTGTTCCACGAATATTCTGGACAGCATCTTGCAGCACCTTGACATGGGGGATGTTGCCTTCCTTCAGCGCAGCCTGGCAGGTCGTGTCCTCCGACAACGCGATGATCAAGTGGTCTACGGCAATGAAGGAGTCTTTCTGCGTCTTTTGTAGTTCGTTGGCTTGTCTCAGGAGTTTGGTGAAGGAGGGTGCCATGGAAATCTGATCGGGAGGAGGATTTTGAGTGGGTAACCGGACAAGAGCGCGGTTGAGGGCTCGTTGGAAGGCTTGAGGGTCGCCATGAGCGCGCTCGACGACCTGGCGGAAGAGAGACTGTGAGGAGGCGCCATGAGAGGCGTTGACGGTTGCTTGCTGGTCTTTGGACTCGTCGACGGGCGGGTCAAGCAGGCTAGAGGCGAGATGGAGGGGTAGAAGTTGGGGGTGAGCATATGACTCTGCGATGGCCATGGCATCGGACAGAGCCTTGGTGGCCCGGTCGGTGAAGTTCATGTTTGAGGTCGACATGTTGTCGAGTTTGACCCGGGAGTGTGATCAGTTCGGGTAGGAGGTTGTGGATGTAAATGTAATTGTGGTTGTTTGTCGCTATGTGGAGGAACTTTCGAACTGGGATGGATAGTGGGGTGTCAGAGCAAGCTGGCAGGTCCTTCGGTTGTTTGTTTTGATTGTTTTCAAATAAGTCGGTGATCTGGGTCACTGTATCGAAGAAAGTCTTGGGGAGGTTTACTTGTGGAAGGACAGAAATGGAGAAGATGTGCTATGGGGAGCAAGATTTATATCTTGCCATCGAGGGTGACGAGATGGCTCTAGAGGGAGCTGGTGTTGTCTCGAAAGCTCGGCCTGTCCAAGGAACGAGATGCAGCTAGAGCCTTCTTTTTCTTGTGGGGTGGTGGGGTCGTGGGGCCAGTGCTGCTGGCAAAATATGGGGCCTGTCGAGGAGCAAGCTCACCTGTCAGTTCAGCCACAGTAGCTCATCAAGCCACAGCATCGGCCACAGCACTGGCCACAGCATCAGCCACAGCATCAGCCACAGTATTAGCCACAGCATCGAAATAATCCATACCAGCTGCCTTACTTTGTCGTTGGACTTGGTCCAGTACCGGTACTGCGTCGATTGACAGCCAGCTGTCCCGTCCCAACACGCGATGAAGCCCAAACGCATGAACCCCGAAGAGCTGGCACGTCGAGCCCACCAAGCAGCAGAAGCCGCCGCGTCCCAGGCTGCGAAGCAAGCCGAGATTGCTGCGCGCAAGGCCAATACCGTACCAAAGACACCGCCGCCCGAACATGGCCGGGAGATCTTCGTCTACAACCATGCACAGCGAAACCATGTCGTCTACTCGCTCAGGAAGGCCATGAACGTACGGTCTGCCTTCTGGGACATTAAAGCGGTCGGGTGCTGATTCAATTCCATAGAACAATGCCGCCTTGGCCCAGCTCCCCTTCAACGGCAAGAAATCCGTACCAGCTGCCCTGCGCAAAGACCTATGGCATCCCATGGCCCGCATCACCTTTCCGAAAGGCTCTGGAAAGGTCGGACTCTCCGCCTTTCAGAAGCTGCGCGAGTACAGGAAACGACACGAGTTGGAATGGGAAACGAAGAAGGGTGATCACATCTTCTGGGATCCGAAGGCGAGAGAGGATAAAGATAATCCTGGGAGTTTTACACCAGGCCCGAGAACTATCAAGGCTAGAAACAGGTTGCTGTGTGACCAAAAGGCGAACAGCATTGCTGATATTGCGGCCGTGTTAAATCGATTAGCTTCACCAATGCAGAAGTCTACTGCTGTGCCGAAGGAGGGAGAAGAAGGAGCTGTCACGGCTCAGGAGGGGGACACAGCCGAGACAGGAAAGAGTGCGCAGGAAGGGGCAGTGGAGGGGTCTCAGAAGCCAGAGGAGTCCGCTGAGGTCACCAAATTGCCGAACATTGGCCTTGTGGGAGAGGGATCCGGAACCCGAGTCGAGGTTCTCTGGCGGGACTTGCACGATGCGGAATTCGCAGAGTCGTGGGCCGGGAACATCGAGCACGGCAAACTCCCAACGCCCAGCGAGGATATCCCAACCTGGCTCAAGGAGAAGACGTTACGAGAGAAAGAAATCTCCGACGCCGACGAGGCGGCAGCGCGGCTCCGGAACGCAGAAGAGCAGGCCGCAGTACGCGCCAGATGGAACGCCTTGAGCCCCGAGGAGCAGGCCGAGGCGAAGAAAGAAGCGCTAGCAAAGAAGATGGCTGCTCGCGGGAATGCGATCTCCGACGCCGACAAGGAGGCAGCGCGGCTCCGGCACGCAGAAGAGCAGGCCGCGGTTCGCGCCAAGTGGAACGCTTTGAGCCCCGAAGAGCAGGCCGAAGCGAAGAAAGAGGCGCTGGCAAAGAAGATGGCCGCTCTCGAGAATGCGAAGCATGAGAAAAAGGCGAAAAAGCAGAAAGTCAAACACGTAGCTAAGAGGAGGACAACGGGCAGCACAAAGATCCGAAAGGAGACTGTATAGGATTAGGTCAGCTGTGCTGTGTTGTTTTATGTCGTGTTGATATCCTCCACTGTAATTTTACAAAAGCTGTAAAGTAAGAAGGAACAAAATATACCATACCATACCATACAAGCGGGTAAGTAGACGTCCCTAGCAGCGAGCCTCTAGTGAAACCTGGCAGGCTGCCTCACAATTAGGCCGATGCTGCTTGCTGGTGCCAACAATCAGATATGGGACGGGGTTGGGATAGAGAGTATTGCAATCAAGGCGTCTCTCTCTCTCTCTATGCTGTTCTGTTATCTATCTCTCTCTCTCTCTCTCTCTTTCTCTAATCTGTTATTTTTGTTCTCCTTTCTTCCTTTCTTCTACAACTATTTTGCTTCGCTTCGCTCTGCCCCTTTAATTACGTACTCTGCGCAGCACTATTCATATGGGACGGAACGGGATTGGGATGGGATAGGATGGAAATGTATGCGATTGAACCCCACTGCACTCAGCTCTCGAAGTCTGGTAATTTGAAGATTGAAAATTGAAATTTTTCCGTTAGAGCGAGAGAGAGGACGTCCATTTCTTCCAAACCGCCACTGCGTATGTATACTCATGCATGCACGTCGCATCTCGTGCTGTGTTTGCAATGCCCTAGATCCCCATGGCTCTAGTACCACCGTCCACCGTATCCCTTGCAGAGCGCCAGACCGCTCGCTTCTAGACTTTGATAGCAAAGCCCTTCAGGTACTCATAATCTGCCAAGTTGGCCTGCACGCACTGCCGGATAACGCGTGCCCCTTCCTCCCCATACTTCTCTCTCCATTCCTGATCTTCCGCCTCGACGGACTTTGCCTTCTTTTTCTTGCACCGAGACATTAGTAACCGTACCGCTCTTCACCACCCGCGATAGCCGAGAGAGGGTGCACAACTCACATGGGTAGCGCTCCTCGGCCTGAGCGAGGTGCTGTTGATAGCATCATCGTGGAAACCTCTCCACTTTTCGAATGCCTCTCGCGCTCTCTGATGATCCTCGTCTGTGTCCCAGACGAGCATGTCAGGGCTGTACTCAAGACCGACTTCCTTGCAATACGCGCGCACGATACCTTCCGGGTTATCGAGGAGATCGTCGGCGTCGATGACTGTGATGCTGACCTCTCCATCGCTTAGATCTCCATGCTTGCCGGCTTCGGCGGGCCCGACTTGTCCGTCCTTAACCAGGAAGTCGAAGACGCGGCGTAGCTCGTCGTACCCAGCCTCGGAGGGCATGAAGTTGTAGAAGCCGGTGATGGCGTCGAGAGGGGGGATCGTGCAACGGTAGTAAGAGGGGATGGAGTGGCGTGGGTGTCGGATCAGGAAGGTGAAATGGAATTGCCTGAGGACTTCGGCCGGGACGACGGTGGGGTTTCCTGGCTCAGCGCCGGTATCGTGCGGGTACGGGGCTTTGTGGTTGCCGTTGGTATGATGGCCGTTGGTATGATTGCCGTTGGTGTGATGGCCATTGGTGTGGTGGCCGTTGGTGTGGTGGCCGTTGGTGGTCTCGTTGCCATTTGTCAAGCCGTTGGTCACCCCATTGGTCACAATCTTCTCTCCATTCGTGCCGACTCCTTTCTTGACGGTTTTACCACCAAGGGATGGGGCGATGGTTGCTGGCTTTCCCTCCGGAGGCACCAAATAATGTGTGATGTCCTTGATGAATAGTCGTTTGCCCTGAACTAAATGAGTTTCTGCTTGGCTTCGCCTTGAAAGACAAGCGGGAGCGATACGACGGTAGCGAGGCCAAAGAGATAAGGGGCCCCAGGCATCAAGATTCGAAGATTGTGAGTAGCACTCGAGCGGAGGGAAAAGGGTGGAAAGGGGCAAATGAAACCAGGAACAGTCTTGGGTAATGTTGTTGTATTCTTATCCATCATCTCTAGTTGAGCGTAATCCAAAGCACCAAGGCCTGGCTCTCTGCAACGTCGTGTATCATCCTCCGGTCTTTCAAGCACTTGCTCAAGATGCACCCAAAGCCGTTCTTCCATATCCACGCTGCATTCGTGATATATATATATATATATATCTCTCTCTCTCTCTCTTTGATCGGGGGAGGTGCGAGTGCTAGGGAATAGTGGGGTTGCGAACCTCTTTTCCTTCTTTCTCAATCCTCTCAAAGATGGACTTGAAACTGCTGTTCGCAAAGCCGCTCTCTTGGCGGGCTTTCTCGTCATCTTCATATCTGGCGCTCAATCTCTCCGGGCCAAAGTAAAAGGCATCGCCAAAGGGTTCGTGCACACACCGAAGTGTATCCTGGCGGGTCATAAAGACCTATATTTATTGGCCTTTGTCAGACAGCGGAAGGCCAATTGGGCAGGAGGAGGGAAGACTCTTACTCTTTCAAATGCAGTACTGCATGCCCGGGGATGGGTCGCAACAAATATGGGTTTTGTTGACATGATGTCTGGGGGTTGTGTGTGATCACCTGGAATTGATTGAACGGACGAAAAGGATCCGGTTGAAGTAGTACTTGTATGTGGGAGCAAAGCAGTCGGTATCTGTCGGTATCTCAACAGAACTTGGATGATGTCCCGTAGCCAACTCGGCCACGGATAAGAGGCGAGGAGGGGCAGAAAATGCAAGCTAGGTAGCTTTGATCTGTGCCACCAAGGAAACTGGGCGGGGGGTGGGGGATTAAGTAAGGTAGGAAGGTAGGCAGGTAGGAAGGTAGGAAAGTAGGCGGGCGGGAGAGAGCTAGAGAAGGTACAGTCAACGGGCACTACCTACCATTAGCGCGCTACTAGCTAGGTACATACTTATTATGGGCTCATCGATACTTAGCTCAGGTTACGCGAGCCCGGACGGAATCATAACAAGAGAGTCATAGTAATAATCAAATAGTAATAATAACCATTGCTGTGATCTTGTGGTAGGCTGGCGGGTTGCAGATGTGCAGATGACCAAGGCGAATATTGGAGGTTGAGGGTTGAGGTACGTCAGAGTGGGCAAGCCCCGCCAAAAAGGGCATGCAGTGCAATGAATCAATGAATCAATGAATAAATGAATGAATGAATGAATGCATGGAGTGGGAATGGGAATGGGAATGGGAATGGGAATGGGAATAGGAGTAAAATATGAATCGGGATATGGAAAGTTGTCGGAGCGCACTGACGATCTCCGTACGCGGGGAATGCACACCCGCATCCGAATTGGGACATCTCTTATCTGCATAACAATCGACATGAGACCCAGGGTACAATCAATTACGTAACGCTGTCTTTCTTTCAGCTCTACGGAGCGGAGTTACGGTAGAAGCGAAGCTCGGAGATAAATGATATGATGCCCTCCTCTCCGTATTCTCCGTATACTCCGTATTTTCCGTATGTTCCGCTCTCCATGTACCGTACCGATAACCTACAACTACCGGTACTTGGGGGCTCTGTCTCGACTATCACTATCCTCAGCCCTCTTCTTCTACCACCTCTCCAACCCTCCCGATGCGCCAGACCCTTTCGCAGTAACCTGTAGCCTGTAGCATCAGGGCTGAGATTGAGTTGCGACGGACCTGAAGATCGAAGATCGAAGCTCAGAGCTCTACTGTACTGTAGATCTACCTCTCTCCTATCCCTGTCGCTCACCACCTGACTTACTATACTACTACTTCCCGTGAGCAATCAATACCTTAGGTATATACTCCCTGGGGTAACCAACCTCCTCTACATTAAGTACGCACGCAATATACGCCCCTCGACCACTACTCACGCCCCTCCTCCTCCCACGCACGCATATCCATCCATCCATCCATCCATCAATGTCTTTCGATGCAATGTTTGGGAACAACTCCTTGGCCATGGCTGCGGCTACTTCCAATACCAATACCAATACCAATACCAATACCAATACCAATACAAATACCAATCCCAATCCCAATCCCAATCCCAGCTCGGGCCACTCCTCGCCCGCGGATTTCGAAGTCGAGGACGATGCGAATATTCTAGGAGCGCAATGGCAGCATGGCCAGAGTCCGTCGAATCAGGCATCCCAGCACCCACGAACGCCAGCGCCTCTACAGAAGCGACGAAGGGTAACTCGCGCTTGCGATGAGTGTAGGAGAAAGGTTTGCTACTCGCATCTTCCCATGTCCATTGGGGATTGTTGTGAGAGCGCACCGAGTGATTTCGCTAACACTGAAGCAGAAGATCAAATGCGACGGGAAACAACCTTGCACACACTGTACTGTTTACAGCTACGGTACGCTTCCTCGGTTGGTATCTCATACACTTCCCGGCTAAGGCTCCATCATAGACTGCACATACGATCAACCTTCCAACAGGAGGAGAAATCCCGCACCACAATATATCGAGGCCTTGGAGACACGGCTGCAACGGACCGAGACGCTACTCCGATCAGTATTGCCGAACGTCGACCTCAACGACGCCAATATAGATGCCCTTATCCAAAAACGCCTTCAAGCTGGCAATGGGGAGGAAATCCAAATAAACCAAGCCGAAACATCAGGGGGAAAATCCGATGAATCTGATCATGAGGCGCAACTGCGCTCAATGATTGAATCTACAGGGCAGTTGGACCTCGATGAAAGCGGGCACTGGGATTTCCATGGAGGATCGGCAGGTATCGTGTTTGTCAAGAGAATGCGAGAACAATTTGGCGATCTCCTTGGGGGTTATGACCATCGTGGTCCTTTACTCCCAAGGCTTTCCCGCCCTGTCGTTCCGAGTATCGACTCTCCCAGATCCATGACAGAAAGTCCAATGGACGGCGGTCTGCCCAATATCGTGGATCTCCCATCCCGGGAGACTGCGAAGATTTTGTGTGGAGACTCGCTTGACTGCGGATGTTCTCTCTTACGGTTTGTCCACCATCCGAGTTTTTATGAAATGTGTGATAGGATTTACGATACACCCCCTGATCAGTTCGGGGATAATGAGAACCGATTTCTACCTCTTCTATATATGGTTCTGGCACTTGGGTGTTTGTTTCATAATGAGCCAAGTCGGGCTCACAAGGGGGACCCTCAAAACACCTACAAGAACGGAATCGAACTAGGGTAAGCCAGATTCTCTCAAGCTCTACAGGATACTTCGTGGATCTTCGTGCCAGTAATAACGGCCCCATCGGCCATCGGGTATTTGCATTTGTAATGCGTTGCTCATCCGGAGCATAGGCTAACTAAACTGTAGATTGAAATACTATCGAGCAGCACGCAGCATGGTCGAACCCACAGATTGCCGTGATCTTACATCTTTACAGGCTGTCATCTTCATGACTCTCTTTCTTCAAGCGTCTTCAAACTTGAGCACCTGCTACTCGTATGTTGGAGTCGCTCTGAGATCTGGCCTGCGCATGGGCCTTCATCGAAGTCTGGCTGGAAACTTCAATCCCATCGAGCGCGAGACCAGGCGCAGAGTCTTCTGGGTCATCCGTAAAATGGATATATACGTCTCTGCTCTTTTGGGGCTTCCTCAAATGCTTAGTAGTGATGACATTGATCAAGAGCTGCCAATTGAGGTAGACGACGAGTATATAACGAAGGACGGCGTCATCGACATGCCCCCCGGGAAATTCTCACTGATTCTCGCCGCATCTAACGCTCATACCAGGCTAATGTCTATTCTGGCGAAGGTCGTCAAGTACATCTACCCGACAAAGGGTCTAGAACAGTCGCTTCAAGGAAGCACCAAGTCTTCGTACGTGATCAGCCATGCCAAGATCAGGGAAATTGAGCGTGACCTCGCACATTGGTTAGATAAGTTGCCCATGGTTTTGCGACCTGCAGGAGAAGGCCCACCTGAGGTTCTTCGGTAGGCATTCTTCATGTCACCTATCAAATATTGCTAAGAGATTACACTAGTGTGCAACAACTTCTCCGACTGTCCTATGCTCATTGCCAGATGATGCTTTATCGACCATTCTTACATTATGTGTCATCTAGCGCATATGTAGGTAAGACCATTGACGAAAGGTCGTATGCGTGTGCAGCCGCGTGCGTTAGTGTATCGCGAAATGTTGTTCACATCACCACGGAGATGGAGAGACGAGGTTTGCTTATCGGTGCTCATTGGTTTACGGTTCGTACCCCTCTTGCCATTCCACGGTAGATTTTACAATGCCAGAATTTCCGTTCTCTGAGCTGCCAGATGATACATGCTGACGATTACAGATGTACACCACATTTTTTGCAATCATATCCCTTGTGTATTTCGTACTCGAAAACCCCGACAAGGCAGGGTCACACGAGATTCTTGCTGATGCAAACGATGGGAAGGATGCTCTGGATGGCCTTGCAAGGGGGAGTCAGGCAGCTGATAGGTGCTCCACCGCTTTGGGGGTGAGTGGTTGCCTCTCCCAATTGACATATTCAACCTGAATTCTGACAAATATTAGGGGCTGTTCGAGAAATTGCCCGAAACACTAAAAGGCTCCAAGGTGCCCAAACAGCAGAATAAGCGTTCCGCTCCAGAATCCTCTCTCCCAGGGCAGCGAAACCTACACAGCTGTCCCGAGCACCCTGATCCTGCATTGAGTATCTCACGAGCAACGGCCTTCCCTATGAAAGCTCCCGCCCAATCAGGAGCCCTATTAAGAACCACTCCAGACGGCGACAGCTTCCAAAACAACACATCATCGAGCCCCAACCTTCGCCAAAGCTTCCACGACCTAGTCTCGCCAACCACAGACATGTCTCCTATCAATACCCCTTGTTCCAACACAATAGGCACTATGCGCCCCTCACAGTACTCCATGCATCCACAATTCGGCCTCAGCACGGCCGTCCCCGAATTCAGTGCGATGATGTTCCCGTCTAACGATCCATTCGCGTATCCGAACCAGCCGATGATGCAGTTTGACAATATCAAGCAGGAGGGCATGGGCAACATGGCGAACGGGACTCAAGTTCTTCCTTTAAATCTGGCGAATAGTCCCAGCCGCGAGTACGACGACCTCCAAGGGCAGCTGTTCGGGCCGCTCCCGCCGTACCTTTCGCAGACGCAGCAGGGGTTTGGCATGCAAGGTTCGATGGGAGGTGAAAACATGATGGGCCAGAATCTGAGTTATGCTACGGGCGTGCAGCCTGGAGATGATGGCATGGTTTTCGATGGGACTTTCCCTGGGCAGGCGGGTGATGCTTGGGCATCTTCATCCTAATCTTTATAATTTCTACAAATGTGATTCATTCATTTTGTATGACCCATTCTGTCAATATCTCCTTGATCCACAGTGAAGAGGAAGGGGTCGACCGCATCCAAAACTATTCGAAACGCCCGCTTCGTCTTGATAATTCAAATTCAAGACCAAAATAAATGGGTTACTGATTGATGAAAGGATTAGATGAAGTAGAGATCACTTGAATTCATTTTCACAGCACTCACCACGTGACTCTTAAAGCCTTGATTTGATGCGTCTGGGTGCGGATTGGTTTGTCACTTACCGTTTACTTAAGCTAAAGTCTTGGCAATAAATCTTAACAAGGCTCCCTCCCAAGAGCTTCGAGAACAACCCCTCCATAGCTCCGAGCAGCGTTCATTCGACGACGACAACAAAGTCAGGTTCGATCCCGAAAATGGCGACAATAAATAGCTCTCCACCTTCTCCGATACAGAGCCGGATCAAAAGAAATATTGTGCTTGTGCACGGTATGAGAGGATTGCCCAATGGACCTCCATCATCTAACTCGTTCTAGATCAACCCAAGTTCGACTTGGAGTCATATTTGGCAAACTACCAAGGTACACACTTCCTCGAAATCACCCCTTGCTTGGAGTCGGATATATGCTGACCAGGACAATTAATAGGACGAACGAGAGTAGAGCGCCTCCTCTTCATCGGTGCATCCTCTACAGTTCTTGGAGTCGAGGCTCTCAAGTTAGCAATTAAGGAGGCCAAAAAGGGCAAGGATGTCAACCGGTACCTCCAAGCGCAGAACACCCTCCGAGTTGTAGGACCATTCGAGCCAGAAGCTAGTAGGGATCTGCCGTGGGTGGAGAAGCAAGGCAAGATAAATCAAGCTGAGACGACACGCCTGGAGGCGGAGCTGAAAGGATACAAAAACAACTTGATCAAGGAGAGCATTCGGGTAGGCTATATCCTTACCAAGCGAGGGAACGTCTCCAGCACTAATGGCAGTAGATGGGACACGAGGACCTGGGCAAGCACTATCAAGCTATTGGCGATCTGCACAAGGCCTTCGAGGCCTACACTCGCATGAGACAAGATATAAGCATGGCTAAACAAATTGTTGACGTTAGCAAGCACCTCATCGAAGTCTCTATCGAGCAAAGAAACTACGTTGCGGTCGCATCCAACTTGCAGAAGATTCAAGGTACATTGGGAAGTCCAGACGACGACAGATCTCTCCAACCATTCCTTTGCACTGCTCAAGGACTCTGTCACCTGGATGCCGCAGACTACTACTCGGCTGCACGGAAATTCTTGAGCGTGGAGGCCGGCATGGGGTCAAGCTGTAGCACCTTTATCAGTCCAAACGACGTTGCTGTCTACGGAGGTCTATGCGCTTTGGCTACGATGGATCGCAACGAGTTACAAACCAAAGTCCTGGAGAACTCCAACTTCCGCACGTACCTCGAGCTGGAGCCTCATATTCGACGAGCCATCTCCTCCTTTGTAAACGGCCGATATACCGCTTGTTTGGAGGTCCTCGAAGCTTATCGTTCAGATTACTTGTTGGATCTCCACCTCCAGAAACATATCGACGAGCTCCACCAGCTTGTTCGGACTAAGAGCATAGTTCAGTACTTCGTCCCCTTTTCCTGTGTGACCTTGGAAAGCTTGGACGCAGCGTTTGCCGCGCCAGGTAAGACCATCGAGAAGGAGTTGGTTGCCATGATTACGAAGAAAGAGCTTGATGCACGGATTGATACCCAAAACCGAGTAAGTTGTGAGAACAAGTTAACCAAAACTTCATTGCTGATTTGGTAGCTCCTCACCTCCTTACCCTCTGCACCCCGTTCTTCCCTCCACAACTTAGCCCTCGAGACCGCCAAGGAGTACGAGCGCGAAACCCGACTCCGCATCCAGCACATGAACATCCAAGGCGCCGACCTGGAGATCAAGGGCAACAAGCGAAACGTAGCCTTCAACTCGGGACTGGACAATGATTTCTTCGACGGCGGATTCGGTCGTGGTCGGGATTTAAGGTCGGGAAGAAATGCTTGACGGCTGGTAATGGTCTAGATGGGAGATGAGTCTGATGGCCGGGAAATTGCGTAACGAAAATGATGCATATGAGGAGGCGTTTGTGTAAAACTGGGGCTGGGCATTTGAGATTAGCTTAGGCTGGTTGGTGTATGTATGGTGTTAGGAGCGGAATTACAGATTTGGTTTCTCAGAGCTTTCTCACGCACACGACCCTTGGGTGGCTTCGCGATACGATTTACATCTATCATGCATCTCACTGAGTCGTAAGACGGGTGGCATACTCTTGCTTGATGAGTGTGGTGCATTAAGCTGAGTCTGGGCCTCTCTCAGCTCTCATGGCTCTTTCCTAGTCTGGACGAGCTTACTACAGGGAGCAATCCCCTTTCTCATTCTCATTCTCATACCTTCCTCTCACATATCATTCCTAAGCCCCTCTCCTCTCTTCTCCTCGTAGACTCACTCACTCACTCCCTCATCTCCTCCTTTCTCCTTCTCCTTCTCCTTCTCCTTCTCCTTCTCCTTCTCCTCTCCCCTTCTCCTCTCTCAACCCAAAACCCAAATTCCATCTCCTGATTCGCTCGGTCGGTCTGTCGGCAAAACAAAGCCTGACCAATCCAATGAACACTATCTCATCTGTCCTTTTTTTTTTTTTTTTTTTTTTTTTCCGTTCTTTGTTCCTTTGCTACAGGTAGGCAGCAGAGTGCAGAGATGCATGGAAATTTGAAAAAGGGATAGGGATGATGATGATAGCTTTAAGCGAGAAACACGTAAGTTATATACAGCCAGACGAGACTGACGAGGAGCTAGCAAGAGAAGAATGCACGACGGCGGACATTTTATTTATAGATAGATAAATACATGAATGAATAATGAATGAATGAATCAATCACAAGCCATCTTCACCGAGAGGCCACGCGCTTCTGCGCGCCACCAGCGTCCCCGAGAATCTCCTCGAAGCGGTCCTCCAGATCGACGTGCACACGCACCTCCTTCTCGCCCATGACCCGCCAGGTGCCCCGCTTCTCCTCCCAGTCCAGGCCCGGGATATGGTCGATTTCCAGGCCGCAGAGATAGAGTTCCTTGGCCCAGGGACAGGCGCGCAGGCATCTGTACCAGACCTCCTTCGCCGAGGCCCGGAACTCCTCGCGCTCGAGGCAGAACAGGAGGTATAGCTTCCACAGGCCGGCCGAGGATGATACACCGGGCGCTCGCAGGGCGTGCTCGAAGGCTGCCTTGGCGGCGTGGATGGTGCCGTGCTGTAGCTCGTGCGAGATGGCGAACAGGCGCGAGGAGGGCGCGTCGGTCGCGGGTGTAAGGATGCTGGTGGCGAGGAGGGAGCGCACGCGGTTGTCGGTGCGGAGGCGGGAGAGGGATTCGGTCCAGGCGTAGAGGGACAGGAAGATTGTGTTGCGCGGGAAGTGGGCGAGGCAGGAGGAGGTCAGGTGTGTGCGCAGCAGGGAGGGTCTGAAGGGGCCGCCGGCGCGGGTGTGGTGGTGGAGGAGGCGGGCGGAGAACTGGAGGGTCTGCTCGTGCGCTGCTCTCGCGGCCGGGTGGTTCGGGCGCGCGAGGAGCGTGCTGGAGAAGGTCGTGTAGTGCGATAGGGCGGGGAGGATGGAGCCTTGGGTGGACGATTGGGGCTCCGAGGTGGGTGGGGAGGTGAGGTAGGCTAGGAGGGCTAGACAGTCGGTGTAGAGGGCTGCGAGAGGGTAGGCGAGCGTGCTGGTCAGGTAGTCGCGGGTAGAGAGGAGATGCTGGCGGGTTTTGAGCAGGAGCGCTGGGGTGAGTGTTGTTTTCGGGTTGGGGGTCCCGGATGGGATGTCCAGGAGGAGGTGGAGGGCCGAGGTGTGGGAGGAAGATAAGATGTGCAGCCAGACCCAATTACGCCAGAGGAGAATGCTGGAGGTGGAGATGGAAGTGGAGGTGGAGATAGAAGCGGTAAAGACTGTGTTGGCTAGGTCTTTGTTGCCGCGGGCCCATTCTATCATTGCGTAGGCGTTGTAGAGGCGAAGACTGGAGGGGTGCTGTTTTAGAAGGCCCTTCGAGATCTTCTTGATGGTTGAGGGGGAGATATGGAACTCGAATGCTAGGTAGTATTCCGCGAGGTCTTCTGTGAATCGGGCTTGGATGAGCTGTTTGAGGACGTTGCTAATCCATACTTGGGATACTGGACTGTTGTTTCCCTCGTAGCGAGCTTGCAATGGACACGCTGGGGCGCTCTCTGTGGTCATATTGGGGGCTCCAAAATAGTCTGAGAATGAATTTAGCGAGTGAAGGCGAGTTGGAGAAACGAGACTGCTTACAGTTTCCTGCTAGGCCACTACCGAACAACAATTCTGAAGAGCCGAAGCAATTAGGAAATGAGGTTCGTAAAAAAGATGGCGTTCCGACATCATCGCTCTCGTTATGCCTTGTGGTGAAATACTCTTTCTTGATCCAAGTAGGACTGCACTCGAGTAACTCGTCGCGAATAAATGCATCATTTGACCATTTCCTCGAAACATCCGAGTCTACAGTTGTCATGGGTGGCAGACGACAGAAGAGGAGAAATGCATCGATACATAGTTGGCGGAGTTCCTCTGACTGAGGAGGCAGTTGTAACATGAAGTCTTCGATGTCAGAAAACATGATAACTCGGTAAGGATCATCTTCCACTACTTCATCCATGGTCCGGGCCGGAATCTGTGAGCATTTCATACGGATTCGCTCAGCTGTGACCCAGGTTTGGAAGATGTTGGAGTTGTCCAGGGGATCATTTGTCTCGTCAACGAGAGTATTCGGGACCTGTGTTTGTATCAGTGGGTTGTCATGGTGGTCTTTGATTCATGAAACTCGTACCTCTACATCATCGCCGCTGCTTGCAAAAAAATGATCCCAACCTAGAGAGCCATCTTCGCCGATTCGAGCGACCTCACTCTCCCAGAAGTCTTTGAAAGAGTCCGTGAGCTTGGGCTTGACAACTTGCTGCTGTGGAGAGTTGAAGTTCATCTCAAGCAGACCTTCCCAGATTGAAATTGCTAGCTCAGTGTACCCAGATTCCCGCATGAACAAAGTCGATCTCAGTACGACATAAAGCAGTTGCTCATACAGAGTAGTAGCACCGGCATCTTCAGCAGTGCTCTCAACGACATTCTTTAGCACCTTAATCCTATCGAGAAGCACACCTTTGACTTCATCGTATCTAAAGGTTGAGAAGTTTGTTTGTTTGAAGTTTAGATAGCTGGTCCAGAGAAAGAGACTGTCAATATTCTCCCTCGAAATTCTTTCCCAGCGGTCTGCTTGAGTTTTGACTTCCCATATCTTGGCCCCCTCCGCCATGAGGCCCAGCAATAGCCTCTCACGATCCTCCAAAGACCGAGAGTTTTCAAGTGCCTTTTCGTACATGTGGATTTTTATATCTGCTGTACTTTTGATCTCAGCTGTCGTGACTCGCCGACCATTGTCTCCAGCCGTCATCAGAAGATCTTGGTGTTCTATGAGCGCCAACCACGCTTCTATATCGAGAGGGCATTCTTCTACTTTCCGGGAGAGTTCCACGTTCTTCTGTCGAAGAGAATCGTCCTCCTTGATTATTCGGCCAGCATCAGAGTCTGAGCAGTCGCTCTCAGTCGCGTATCGAAGATCCTCGTCTAGTGGCTGAGTATTGTCCTTTTTCTTTGAATGTATTGACCGATAGTCTCTCTTCTCCTCATCGGAAGAGCTTCCAACATCTTCCCCTCGCTTGCGTTTCTTCCCTCGCCGAGCTTGTAAGGGGACGAAGTCCGACTCAAGAGCCACAGGATCAGCGACTGTAGCTTCGGGACGTATCTTCAGAAGTCTTGGCTTTTCCCTTTCCACCCGAGAAAACACGTACTTCTCTCGCGAGCTGGGTTTCGAGTCTCCAAAGTTGCTTAGCACAACCCCCTTGTCTTCCACAAAATTCCGGTCAATCTTCAGATCCAAAGAGGCCCCCAACACGTAGCCCGAACCGTAGCGGTAGAATGGAGGAACAGTCCACCGATGGACACTCCCATATACCAGATTATTCACATCGCCTTTGCGGTCAACTATGAAGACCTCTGGCGAGCCGGGTTCTGGCGAGACACGTGATACAGGAGCTTTCTCGATCGCCTGGACCGAGGGCCGAGTTCTCTCCCTGCTCCTGTATCTTCTGTGATGCCTTTTCCCCTCTTCCTTCTCATCGCAACCTCTGGATCGATGCCTGGCCTCTGCCCGTGGCTTTGATTTTGCTTCATCTGGCTCACTGTTCGTTGGCACAGGTTTGGGTCTGAAAGAGGCGAACTTAGGTACATTGCTGGCCGACATTTTGGAAGTCCCAAGCCAGGTCGATACCACCACACTGTTACATCTTCGTATGGAGGTGACTTCGAGCCTCGTTCAGAAGGTTGCAAAATTCGTGGTAACCAAAAGCACCACGTGCCCAGTGGGATAGGCTAAGGCTGCGATAGGCTAGCGGTCGAATGGTTTATCCGAGAGAAAAAGTTCCAGATTATTTCTGGTCCGGAGACAAACCCCACGCCAGTCCTCTTCGCAGAATAAAATCCAGGAAGGCGCGCAAAAAACCACTACAATGGCGACTTCTTTGGCAGCTCAGCTGTCTGCGATTGCCGCCAACTCCGAAAATTCTTTGAATTTGAAGGCGCAGAAGGCCAGGCATTCAAAGTCTTTGATCTTCGAACCCCGAGTAGCAGCGTCGCAGAGCTTCGATACGATTTACACGTTATGCCACGAAGGATTCCAGGAATTATGTTTGCTGGATGGGAGGTTCCTTGAATTCCAACGGGACATATTCAGCGAGCAAAGCCAAGAAGAGGATAGGACGCAATTAACAGCTGCACAAAATTCGGAACTCGACAAACGGTTAGAGTCATTCTTGGGGCTGGTTGGAGGGCGATTGAGATTGATGCCTGCTATAAAAGCAGTAGAGTGGCTGGTGCGGCGGTTCAAGTGAGTCTGAGGTGAGGAGAAGCAAAATTGCATTTTTGGTAACTTTTGCAGGATCCACGAAAAAAATAGCACCGTCCTCCTGCTCACATTTCTGCCATACCACACTCTTCCGATCTTCACGACACTCCTTTCAATACTGCCTGAGAGAATTGCGCCGGAATTCAAGTTTCTTCAGCCATATATAAGATCATTAACATGCCCTCCGAGACACACTATCGTTCTAGTCGCAACAAATCACACTCCCTTCGCCTCTGCTCTCAATGCGTATGTTCTACGGGTATGCCAAGCCCGGCAAGATTACCAGACTCTTCTCGCGTTCTGGGCCGGAATCATGTCCGAGGCTGTGGCAGGAATGATGGACAAATCTCGATCAGGAAGGAAAGGCGTTCAGCTACAAAACGAAGAGGATGTCGTTCTGAGGTTGTTGCCTACTCTGAACGAAGGTCTGTCGATGAAAAGAGTTCCGGATCTTCGTGTTGGGTGCTACATGATCCTTTCAATTATGGCATCCAAGGGTGGACTGGATGATAAAGTCCTGACAGCTATGATGGAGGCTGTTGTTCTGGGATGGACTGAAGAAACGACGATCCCTGGTCTTGTGTGCCTGTCTATTTTGGCGCAACAGCGCAGCCCCATGGCTCTGACGAAAAGACTCACCAAGGAGCTACTGAAGGTTGATAACCTACCAGAAATTCTGGTTGAGTTATCAAAGCAACGGAGAGTGGATAGACTTGCGAATGGCTTTTGCGTAGCCCTTGTTCAAAAAGTACGAGCAAGATCGGAGATCTCTTGCCTTCCAACCATTCAACGACTCATCGAGAATGACCTCCTGAGCGATGCCCAAGCCGCTGTCAATTTCAAAACCCTTATACTGGCAGCACATGAACTCAACGCCAAGTCCACTCCGCATCAAGATATGCGTTCACACCTGGCTTCGGTATTAGTTTCACTAACCCAGTTATCTGGACACACAGGCGTTGTAGTTCGAGGAGTACTGGAAGACACAGATATCGACATCGATGACTTGGAATTGAAGCTTCAGGCCACGCTTCGAAATTTGGAGGCTCCCCCGTCTCCATCGGAGGACGTTGTGATGGAAGAGCCAACGTCTATAAGGAGTCTCAACTTTCCAGCTCTCATCCAGGAGCTTCCCAAGAAGACAGTGATCGGATCTACGTTCTTGGCACACACCTCTTCGCATATCTACCCTGATCTCTGCAGAGCTTTCATTACAGCAGTGTCCAATGCTGCCGATTTGAACACATTCGACGAGCTGCCTATTCTTCGTCGGCAATCCGCTGTGGAGGATACAATATACCTCAGCTTCTACATGCGAATCTGGTGTGGTCCTCATCCCGTCATAGCACGAGCTTCGGCCCTCCAAATGGCAACTCGCCGTCTCTCGAAGGACCAAGTCGTAAGCGTAGACTTTCAAGCAATCCTGCCGTATGCAATTGCGGCACTTGGCGACGCGGCAACTAAAGTACGACGGGCCGCTTCGGAGCTACTGGTGGCTATAGGCAGAACCTATCCCTCAGGCCCGGAAGCCAAGAAGAAATCGAAAAAATTGCCACGTTGGGCGTCTAATGATTTGTATGGAACTGGGCTCAACTCTGAAGATTTGACTTGGCTTTCTACAGATGTTGCATCTCGATTGCTGAGCGAAATCATCATTCCGGCTTTAGAAGAATGTATCCTGGATCGAAAACATGTCGAGTCCGTTTTTGAGAAGTCTCTGAACAGTGCCCGAGGTCCAGAGACCCCCAAGAAGCAGGATGCCGGTCGCCTTTCACAAGCTGCACGTACATCGATTTTAACATTCTTGGCCCGGCATGTGGTTCACACTCCCGTGTATACCGTGAAGTTGCGGCTAGTCGCTTCTCTGAATCAAGTGCGTAGTATAGCAGGCACAACGAGAACGAAGGTCCTGCTTCCAGCTCTGCGACAGTGGGTTGCTCTGCCCTCAGCAGAAGTTCTCAAATGTTGCCAAGATGAGCAACTCGATGCTGCAGAACTGGATAGTCAACTGCTGGCAGTAGTTGCGGCTAACGACAAGGAGGGCCAACAATTCCTAGCCAAAATTGTCAGTGGAGAGATTGTGGCCACTCGACCAGCAATCCTGGATGCAACTTTCAAAAGATTACGATCAATGTGGTCGTCACTGAACGGGGTAATACGATTGAACACTGCCCAGATGTTGATGGACGCTGCCCAGATCTCTCCCGAAGAAATTGACGAGACGCGAGAGGCAGCTTCTACGGGCGCTGCAGACCTGTTGAGGACAGCAGCTCTCTCAACAGACATTTTATTGGCTTTTCTTGACCAGCTGCCGACAGCCGCAATGTTGGCAGACAATCCACCAGCTACGAAAAGGCGCAGAATAAGCCACGGAGAAGTGGCTCATACGCCTCTTCAAGATACGAAACAGCTCACTGCCGCCATCAGAAAGATCACCTTTGTTCTGCAACTCGTCGATAGCTCTGAGCCGAGCAAGCATCCTGAGCTTCTGCGAGGGCTTTTCACTGTTCTGGCCGAACTGCAGCACTTCAAGGCCCAGCTTTCTTCAGAGCTTGCATATCTTCAAGGGCTGGTTCTGGGTAGCCTTCTCGGTATTCTGAAAGCCCATAAGTCAAACTCAAGCATCAAGTTGGATTGTTCGGCCGTTCGAGCCGACTTGCTCGTTGACTGTGTCCAAAATACAACGAGTCCACAGGTCCAGAATGCTGCCCTCCTCCTTGTTGCTTCTCTCGCGGATACCGCCCCTGAGCTCGTCCTTCACAGCGTCATGCCTATCTTCACCTTCATGGGTAGCTCCGTCTTGAGACAAAACGACGAATACTCTGCACATGTTATCAACCAGACAATCCGAGAAGTCATTCCTCCTCTCATATCATCTCTCCGAAAAGAGAAGGGAAACCCTGTCACAGGCGCAGCCGAACTCCTTCTGAGCTTTGTAGCCGCATACGAGCACGTTCCTCCACATCGCCGAAAGTCTCTTTTCACCTCCTTGGCTCAGACTCTAGGTGCCGAGGACTTCTTGTTCGCGCTCTTGGCGATGCTTGTTGACAAATACGGGGTGACGGAAAGCATTAAGGCATTCACATCTGATCTGGCTGGATCATTCGGAGTCGAAGTTCAATTACAATCCTCTATCAAGTATCTCGACTTGGTCGCGGACCTGCTGAAAACCAAGCCATCGTACTCTTGTGTCTTACTCGGCGCCAACGAGGACAGAAAATTTGATCCTCACAGAATCGCTCTGGATGAACTGACCTTGCTCTCACACCTTCTTTCTCAGAAGCGTCTTGTATCTCAGACCGGGAAATTACTGACCCGCGACGACATGGATGCCGCCAGAGTGCGAGACCTCTACTCGATTTTGTTGGAGAATATTCTGGCTCTAGCAGACACCTTGAAATACCAGAAGCGCCTGCACATTGCTTGTGGCGATGTTCTGGAGAGCTTGCTGGGCCTCCTGTCTACAAGCGAGTTTGTAAAAGCAGTCGAGGGCTTGCTTCACAGACCTGGCGAAGCACTGCGCCGCAAGGTTCTAAAAGCTCTCGAGGTCCGTATCGATCATGAGAGCTCATCCGATGCCATCTCGAGAGTTGCCATGCTCAACTTCCTGCCCCAACTCACAGCCATCATTCGGGACTCCGAAGACGTTCTGTACAAACACACAGCTGTTGGATGTGTTGACAAGATCTCTGAAAAATATGGAAAGAAGGATCTCGAAGCCGTATCCGCCGCCGCCGAGACGATTGCAAGTAACCACTGCCTCGGCCAATCTGACACCCCTTTGAGAGTGATGGCACTTCTATGCCTGTCTTCATTGGTCGAGATTCTAAGGGAAGGCATTGTTCCAGTCCTGCCGATTGCAATTCCGAAAGCCTTGGAGTACATGGAAGCAAGTGTTCAATCAAACATCGAGTCTCATAGGCTGTACAAGGCCGGCTACGGATTTATGGCAGCCTTGGCCCAACATCTACCCTATATGGTATCCGGAGCGTACTTGGAAAAGCTTCTTGAGATATCCAACATCTCTGCCGAAGCCGATCTTGACGATGAATCCGATGAGACTCGGGTGCAATGCCTGCAACTTGCGGCGAAGCTCATTGATGCGAAGAGCATGTTTGTAGCGCTGGAGAAGGATTGGGTGCGAGCTTCTACAGTGGGGGCTTTGGTAAGTGACCTCGATAAATGGAATTGTGCGACTATTACTAAGTCGAAAAGCAGGCTCTTCATGAATATTTGGCTGTCCTCAGTACAGCTATCGATAAGCACCCGAAAGCTATTGTCACCAAGTACTCATCTATCCTCGCCAAGATATTTCAAAATGCATTTGATCTTCGCCGACAATGGACTACCGCCACAGATGATCGGTTTACAGCTGATAATATATCCGAAATCGAGAGAGAGGTCAACGAAGTCGCCATCAAGATGATCTACAAGTTCAATGATGCAACTTTTAGACCCATCTTCTCTAACCTCATCGAATGGGCATCGTCGCTGCCCAAAAAAGACAAGGTTGGTAGAGCGTTACGACTCCAGAGCGTCTATGGCTTCATGGCTGTGTTTTTCGAGAACCTCAAATCGATCGTCACGAACTACGCAACATATCTACTAGATAATGCAGTCGAGATCCTCGCAGTCGTGGATCCTAAAGACGAAGCATCGAGAGAGTTGTGGTCTCGTGTGCTTCGCACCTTGACTAAATGTTTCGAGCATGACCAGGACGACTTCTGGCAAGCTCCATCACATTTCGCAGCGGTAGCACCTGTGCTATGCGAGCAGTTTATAAACGCATCGACCCTGCCACTGATTCAAGATTTGGTCCCTGCTATCGTAGAGCTTGCGGCTTCGGCAGACTCATCTGACCATCACAAGGAGCTTAATGGAGCAATTCTAAAGCACCTGCGATCCGAGACCGCAAGTGTTAGGCTGGCAGCTGTTAGATGCCAGCAGGAGCTCACTGACAGACTGGCCGAGGAGTGGCTGGAGATGTTGCCCCAGATGTTGCCGTTCATCAGCGAGCTACAGGAGGATGACGATGATGTGGTGGAGAAGGAGACGCATCGCTGGATCTCAAAGATTGAGGGTGTATTGGGGGAGAGCATGGACGCGATGCTTCTGTAGGAGTGGCATGGCTTCCGGTGGCGTAGGCGTAGAAATGGAGATAATTACACTTAATTAAGGCTAGAGAATGAATACACAAGAATAGCAAAAAGTTGAGGAATGTGTGTCTGCATTAACTCGCTTCGCAACATTACCGTTCCTAGATACATCAAATTCTCTCAACTCCGGCGGTTCAAGCTCTATAATCATGTTCTCTATGGAAATCCCGCACTCTGGATCATGCATTGACCACCACAATCTACTGCCATGGCTCTCTATAGTAGGTAGCTGACGTCTTCACCTCTTCTCGTCTCTGGAGTCATCATCCTTGGCCCTTACATACATCGCCTAGGTAGGTACTTTTCCGTCTCGCTGCCTCCGCCGAAGTAAAACGAATCTTTCTTTCTACCTGCTGATAAAGGTGATATTAATTTTACCCTCCCCCCCTCCTCCCCCCTTTTTTTTTCTTTTTCTTTCGTTAGGTACTTGTTTTATTAGCATATTACGTACGTACGTACAAACGCACGATGTGTGTTTCGGATATAAATAATGGGTCTTTGCAATGCTACCTTAGTTAATATAGTTTGTTCATTTCGATCGCTCGCTTGGGCATATTTCTTTTTCTTCTTCTTCTTCGGGCCTCGAGATTGATTGGTGAGGTTCTGTCTGACTTTCAAGGTCCTAATCTTTGGATAACTTGTGGCGGATTGATTAGGGTGGGTGGTGACTTTACTCGCAGCAGTCTGTATAGTTGCGTCTCTTTGATGTTTTTCTCGCGGCGTTTATATCAACTAGGGATGGGCTGGGCTGGGCTAGGCTCGCTTGCTTGTTCGGCAGTCTTGAGGCTTTGGGATGAGACGAGGTACCGGTAGAGTGTTCTCGCCGCCTGTTTGAGTGATTATAGGATGTGCGGCCTTGGAGAGAGAAGCCTTGCTTGAGGGTGAGTGAAGCCAGGCTTATAAAATCGGGTTGTGTTCATCATCACAGCGAACAAAACAAAGCCTATTAGAACAAACATGCCTGCAAAAAAAGTTTCATTATCTATTCCATTATGTTCTGTGATAACGGACTACCCGTTTGCGTATATCCTAGTCGTACTTCCTGACCGATAGCCATCGCTGGTCGCCGGCTTCTCTTCGACATCCACACCAACGCTCTTCGTGATGCTGTACATAAGAAAGGAGGTCGTGGTGCTGTTATCCAGTCTCTGGGCGCCGTGTGTGCCGGAGCGGATCCCGCTTACTGTGCTCTGCACGTGCGTGTTCACCGAGAGGAAGATCTTTACGATGAATGCTCGGAGGGAAGGGATGCAGGCGCAAAACACTGCCACGAACTCCTCGATCAGAGACCACAGGACAAAATCGAAATGATCCCAGGTGGCATCGAACTGCTTATCGAATACAGATAGATACCTAGAAGGTTAGGAAGTCAGCAAACGGATAATCTTGTGAAACGCTCGAGAAATCATGGGTATGGTCCCTACTGGAGGCGGACTATACTAGTCACACAGGCACTGTTGTTTGGTTAGCAGGTGCCTTGATTGTGAAGTGACATGGGTAGTGATTAGGAAACATACAAGGAGCCGATGGAGAACATGAAGAACAGATTCAGTTTCTGGCCTCTGCTAAGTTGGAGATTCCAGATCTCACCCGCGGGTAGAAACAAGATGAAGAAGTCCTCTAGTATACTTGCGCCGGCGCCACTATACCCAATAATCTTCGGGTGGAGACATTGGCCTGCAATAGACCTGTCCCAAATAGCATGAATTGGCCAACACTGAAAGATGATAAGGAAAAGGCTGTAGGAGACAAGCGGTCAGCAAGAGCACATTCAAGAGAGATCGTAGGACTGAGATTATCATGGGACTTTCCCCCAGGTATTCTAATATGAAAAAAAAAAAACGACGGGTCAAAGGCTTCACGAATGGTTACCTACTACACGGTCCCGTGAAGGAGGAGGAAGGCTATTCCCAGTTTGCTCATAAACTCCGTGCGCGTTCGGGGAAATAATCGCACGTAGAGTAGAAGGAGAGAGATCTTTGCCAAGACTTGGATGATAATGTAGAGCATCTGACCAACGTCTACCAAAAAGCAGGAAGTCAGCAAATGGTTGTTCGGACAAGCCTCGAGATCAAAACTTTTCCTGAAGGGTAGAGACGAGAGAATTGGCTAGTGCCCGAACACTGACAGTAGGACTAGAGAGACTGTTAGCGAGTTTCTTTGCAAGCACTTCTCACCAGGGCTGTCCACAACTGTTGTACATACTTTCGCACTGTGGACTGCGTCTTCTGGTTTGATCGTCCAGTAGTGTTGTCCCAGGCCTAGTTTGGCGCATGCAAAGAGAGTTGCGGCGAGGCCCGCCAGGAAAACCTAGCAATATATTTGTTTAGCCTGGAGGTATCTCTTGCTCGGAAGATGATAACCCACGGTGGATAGTAGAGCGGCGTAATCATCCAATCCAAGCCTCCTGCTCGCTGACCAGCGTGTGTAGAACTTCAGCCCGGCGGTTGGAAATGTGATGGCGGAAAGAACGACGATACAAATAATCATTTCGTTGCTTCTCGATTTTATCGGATGGCCTTTACAAAACGACTGCATGCTCCGAGTTCCAACTAGGAAGGCTGTTAGCAGAGAAGCACCCCCGAAGGAAGGATAAGTCGTCTCACTGATCTGCTCGTTGAATGAGCAAGACTTCTGCACACATGTTGAGAGGGAAGACTGCAGCGTGATATTTGAACATAGTGAATCTGGCAACGGGACAGTGCTGCTCGAGCCTATTGAGGACAAGGTCCCCGATAAACAAGGCGTCTACACGTTTTCCATCAGCAATTGCGAAGCCATGGGATCGATAGGGTGGATTTCTTGATGGTTCGTACAGCACAGTCGGGAATTCCTGCGGGCGCTACATCCAGAGCGACAGCTTCACCGAAGCCCAACAACAGTCCTGAGATTAGAAGCCCTATAACCTTCATATCGAGAACTTGGATCTGCGATGCACTGCGATGCAGATCATGGAGTTGGTCGATGCGATCTTCTGTGCGCAACCCGTTGGAAGGGCTTCGCATAGACTGGACTCCTAGTAGTACTTCTAGTCTTCTACTTTTCTCCCCACTGCGGCTGAGTAACTCTGAAGGTTTCGTGGCCAAGTGGTACAACTTAGTAGTATGTCACCGCTCCTGGGTTGCCAGGGGATTTCTACTTATACTACGTACTTAAAGGGCGATTTGAATTTTGAACATCGAACCTCTACTCCGTAGACGCTCGTGTGGAGACTCTCAATCTCGGAACTTAGGCCAAGTGGAGCTTAAGGGCATTGAGGAATCCTTGACTAAGGATATGCGAAGTCCGGATTGTCCAATGTCCAGCCGAAGGGTCTGTATTACAAGGGGGGCCCAAAGCCTTCGGACCTCGGCCTCAGCTGCCCGGCCCCTGAATCCGGATCTTGATCCGGATCGGGTGTTGTACCGTGATGGTTGTTCCGTTGGTTGGTGGTACATTCGTTCCGGCTCGGACGGAAGATTCTTCCACCACATACTACGCAGGTACTACGTACATAGTACATGATGCTCTCTGTAGAATCTGCTATAGTATCGGGAGGAAAGGCTGTGTTGTTGCTGGTTGATTTCTGTTGAAATACGATACCACCAGTACCATAGCTCTGGTTCTTTCATCTCCTTACTGTACTTAAGAGCCGCAAAGGTAGTGACAACACTGAATAGAAGCCGCTTGGGGACTCACCGTGCATCCAAACACAAGGAAGAGAAATGGAAAAAGAAAGAAAACAAAAACCTTAACAGTTGTGTAGTACAGAAACTATCCAACTCCAAACTTTACTCGGCGCCTTAATCCTTAACTCCGACTAATCAGCGATCTGTGCTTTTCAAGTTTCCAAGACAAGGACCCGCTACAATCCGTGCATCGAATCGCGAGCGGCTCCATACTACTAATACTTGTCTGTTTAGTATGGTCGATATTACTTCTACTACCGTACGTACGTAGTATGATTGCGTTATAACGCTATCTTTTACTTGGTACTTGCACTTTGGTAGAAGTTTAAAGAAACCGCAGATACGGTCCATCGTTTCCAATGCCACGTAGCGAAACGGTGACCCGCATGCCTCAGCCAACGCCTTGACTTGACTGCTGCTTTAATGTGAAAACCATTTCCTTGATGCGTAACACATTCGAGGATGGACAATAGATGTTGATATACTGAGGTACAGCGGTTAAGTATCGTAACCTTCGCCGACCTACGGCTACTATTTTTAATCTACTTAAGCAATAACGTGGTCGGTAAGCATGGAATATTGAAGAATCTCATTTTAACAGAACCCAATTACAAAATCGCAGGCGTAATTGATACATCCTTGAGGGTACGAAAGTTGGGCATCGATTACGCTTCTATTACGATTCGTATAAAGATTCGATATACTACGTAGTTACGTAGTATCAAGAATAACGTTTTAAGCCTTCGATATTTTTTCTCGTAGTCTCTTAAAAGAGATCGATTGAGCGTTATAAACAGATAGGAAATATCTCTTTTAAATAGAGTAGTTTCTTTCGAGCGTATACGTCGATTTTTCGGTGTTTAAGGAGGAAAAGTCGTAGTAGCAAAGCTCATTTAAAAAGGTATCGGTGAATTCAATAACTGATTGATATCTATTATAACTGGCGATAGATTGTAAACGGATCGATTGCACTAGAGTTTTAAGCAAAAAGAAAGATTCCAAGCAAGACGAAGGATAAGTTAACTTAAGTGGCCTTTACTTCAATTGGCTTAAAACCCTTGAATACTCCATTGTTACCCCTTGCTATACCCCTGCTATACTTTCTGAATCGGCCCATAAAAGACCCAGTATCACTACTACATTTGGTATTTAGAAAGGGGGAGAGTTAAAAAAAAAGAAAGATTAGTATAAGCGAAGCGTATACGTTTTTAAAGCCTTCGAGTAGAGTTTACATAAAGGTAGGCATCAAATCATAGCGTTAATAAGTAAGCTTCGAAATTCCCTCTTGCGTATGTTATATATACCACGGTACAGGCCTAAGTATTACCCCTCGAGGGTGCCTCAAAAGTCTAGTTTCCACTTTAAAACCCCTGTTTTCCGTACCCTCGAGGGGTAATACTTACGCCTGCGACGTAGTACATTTAATCATGCTGACGGGCTAATAAAATATATATATATATAAATAAATGCGCTTGCAAAGTGCGCATGAAAGTGGTCTGTGCACGTTTTCTATCGTATTAGGAAGGAAGTAGAAAGGAATAGCGAAGGAAAAGTATTCGAATTGCAAGAGGCAGGTCGAATAACTAAGAATTTCAGCCTTTTCTAAGACTACGATCAGCTGAGAGGTCTAATTAAGAATCAATACATAGAAGGGAAATGCTGGCCATTTATTGCGTACCGAGGATCGAGTTGCAAAAGGCAAGTCGATTTTCGATAAAAGCAACGAATTAGACATAATGTTTCTTAGCGAGTTGGTATTAGTCTTTCTCTATACTACGGCTATCAAAGGCAGTATTATATTATTAATTAAGAGTACGCTCTATACTGAGAAAGAAAGACGAAGAAACGAAAGGAGAACTAGATACAGGAAGGAGGTCTTATAAGCAGGCTTGCTAAGACGGGAGCTAGAGGTCACGAGGTAACGTGTAACCTACAGGTGCCCTACGCCTCGTGACCTGCCCTTACAAAATAACGTCCGCTACCGTAACACCGGAGAAAGCATTACCCTTTGCATATATTCCAAATCTGCCTGAGAAGGTGCAAATGGTTATTCCAACTGAAACGATAAACAAAAAGGAGGTCGATTTCTGGGCTCATTGCTGGGATGCAAAAGAAGAGCTACTTAAGAATTCGAGCAAAACTGTTGATTGGATGAGTTGGGATATTGTTGGTAAACCTAAACCGAGCGGAAAGGAGCTGATATTGATGGTGGTTGGAGTGTATCGTAAGCGCATGCTCTCGGTAACTTCCCTCTTATGTTTTCAGGCACGCCACGTGTCCGTGAAACTTTGATAGCGAATCTCACTTCTTGGTAACATGTAGGTACGTACATAAGGAAAAATCAAAACGCTGTACGTCGGTGCAGTACGCGCTGGAGGACTTGGTCCATGAAGTGCGGAGTACAAGTAAGTAGATAGAACTCCGGACGGAGTTGGAACCGACGCGGGGCTCGGCAAAGGACATGGGTGGCAATCAGGTGATCTGGATGCCTGAATACGCGCTAATATAATACAACGCCATGTCGAGACGCGTCGCCATTCCTGACTTGTGATACCAGGCTCAACACACCACACATCAACCACTCAAACAAACGATGTTCAAGCCGTTCAAACCCCCACGCTTAAAGAGCGTTGCTAGACCAGCTTCCATAGATGTGGACGACATTGAGATCCTCGAGTCGCCACCCCGGCCTTACAAGAAACGACGCCTATTAGAGCACATTGTCGAAGACTCTCCGCCAAAGAAGGCGCCTCTTACATCTTCTGCTGTGCTCGCTCCAAGAAAGCCATTATTACCCGTTAAGAACCCACTTGAAGCGAAGCCGCGTCCAGAATCCCAGGCTGGTAGTCCTGAGAGCTATTATATGGTGCTATGGTACGTCAATCATACACGTTACAGAGAAATCAACTAATCAGCCATCTCCCAGGCGCAAGTTTACAACCAAAAAACACAAGACTTGGGATGGAGATGGAATTCTCTCGGTCCGTGATGGATATGCATCCCTCCAGGATGTAGATGGGGGTCGAGAGATGGGCCGTTGCTTATACAAAGATCCGCTCCTCCCTGGCAGCACTTTGAGCATTGGAGGAAAAGATGTTGAGGTCGATTCGATTCTCAGCAAGGCGGATTTCCTAGCCGGAAAGCCATTTATCAACAGCACTGTCACACGAGCTGCTCCTGCCAGCAGTGTTACTGTGCCGAGGAAGTCAATTGTCCTTCCAAAGGGAAAAGTCTCGTTATCTCAGAAGAAGAAAACTGACGGTCCCGAAATGGAGGAGATCCCTGCTGCGAGCTTCTATGCCAATGCGAGCACCGTGGCAATGAAAGCCCAATTCAAGAACCCCCTCTTGTCGACTACTACTATAACCCAATCGAAGGATGGAGCCCCAACACCTCGCCATGATCCCACTGCACCGGATGCCTTGGTGATGCAGAGACCGAAGGACTGTCCTAAAGGAAAGCAAATAGTAGATGTCGTTCTTGACCCATTCCTTGGCCGACACCTTCGTGAACATCAACGAGAAGGAGTCAAGTTCATGTACGAATGTGTGATGGGAATTAGGGACTATGATGGGAGAGGTGCACTACTGGCCGACGAAATGGGCCTTGGGAAGACACTACAAACTATTTGCTTACTATGGACACTGCTCAAGCAGAATCCTATTCATGGATCTGACCCGGTTGTGAAGAAGGCATTGATCGTATGCCCTGTGACATTGATCGATAACTGGAAGAAGGAGTTCAACAAATGGCTTGGCAATGAGAGAATCGGCGTGTTTGTAGAGGGCGGCCAGAACAAGAAGAGGAAGATCACAGATTTCACACACGGCAAAAGCTACAGCGTCATGATCATTGGCTACGAGAGACTGCGGTCAGTGCACGACGACCTCAAGAAGGGAGCTGGAATCGACATAGTCATTGCGGACGAGGGACATCGACTGAAAACAGCTCAGAATAAGTCTGCACTTGCTATCCGTAATCTCAATACCGATAGGCGTGTAATTCTCTCTGGAACGCCGATGCAGAATGATCTCTCGGAATTCTTCACCATGGTTGACTTCATCAACCCTGGACTGTTGGGAAAGTACAACACATTCAAGAAGGAGTTTGAGGGCCCAATCCTGAAAAGTAGACAGCCAGAAGCTTCGGCCAAGGACATCGAGAAAGGTGCAGCACGAGGCGAGGAACTCACTATGTTGACGAAGACATTCATTCTGAGGCGTACTGCTGAGATTCTTTCCAAGTATCTGAAGTCGAAGACGGAATACGTTGTATTCTGCAAGCCTACACAAGCTCAAGCCGAGATCTATCAGCACATCATTGCGTCTCCTTTCTTTGGAAAAGCACTGGGCACTTCAGAAGCTTCACTTCAGCTGATCACTATCTTGAAGAAGGTCTGCAATGCACCTAGCTTGCTGATGCAGAAAGCCGATGCTCCAAGCAACCCTCTTGTTGCCGCATTACTCGACGTCATTCCTCGGGAACTGATGCAAAAATCGAATGCTATAGCGAGTGCCAAGTTCAGAGTTCTAGATCAGCTACTGAAGTGCATCTCCACAACTACCACGGAGAAAGTTGTCATTGTCTCGAACTATACGTCTACTCTTGACCTCGTTGGCCAACACCTGACTTCAATGTCTCTACCATTCCTGCGCTTGGACGGAAAGACTGCCCAGAAATCCCGCCAAGGTCTCGTGGACACATTCAACAAGACTGATGCTTCCAAGACTTTTGCCTTTTTGCTGTCTGCGAAGTCCGGTGGCTCGGGTCTAAATCTCGTCGGCGCATCTCGTCTGATTTTATTTGACGTCGATTGGAATCCGGCCACGGACCAGCAAGCTATGGCCCGTATCCATCGAGATGGTCAGAAGAGGCCAGTGAAAATATACAGATTCGTATTAGCAGGTGGAATGGACGAGAAAATCTACCAACGACAAGTGACCAAGACTGGACTAGCCGACAGCGTTGTCGATGGAAAGAAGTCGGAGGGGAGTTTCACAGCGCAGGAGCTCAGAGATCTGTTCCGCTTGGATATGAATGCTGGGTGCCAAACTCATGAACTGTTGGGTTGTGATTGTAAGGGAGCTGGCGTTGACCTGGCACCACTTGAGAGCTCTTTGGATTCGGCACCACACGAGGCCGTACAAGACAGCATGGATGACAGTGACGACGACTTGCTGTTCCCCCCAGCCAAAGTAATCGTCTCTGGCACCAAAGCCAACGTAGCTGCAGTGGAGAAAAGCATTGCCGACAAGGAAAAGAAGAAGAGAGCGAAGAACTCGGAAGGGAATATGAAGGCACTGATGTTATACAAGCACATTGACGCCTCAATATTCAGGAGCGAGGCGCAAGATGTGTTCGGCTTCGAGAAGGAAGATTTCATCGACGTCAAGAAAGCACTAGATGATGAGATACTCATTCAGGTACTAAAAGGTGAGAACTGCAAAATCAATTATATATTTGCCAAAAGGGATCGGGTCTAGGCTAGGGAGTTTGGGTTTTGGGATCATTCTGGAGCATAGCAAGGCGCTGAAGAGGATATATCATGGCATCTGATCGACGGTGCGTCTCGCGTGGCTGCGGGCGAACAAAGAACACTTTGCTTAATAGAAATAGAAATACATAGCAATCCAAAGGACAAATTCGAGCTCGGCATTTCGTGTCACTTGATGAAGGGAAGCTATGAATGCAGAGAAATAGTTTCGAGTTCTACCGGCTTGTAAAGAAATTCCTTCCTCAGGTGCATCTTCGTAACTCCAAATGCCAGCAGAGGCCTGCTATTGCTGTTGTGCTACCGGTATTGGGCTCCGTAGAGCGAGAAAAGTGCCGGAGATCTCCCGGCGTGAGGGCGCGCTAAGTGCCCCTTGTTATCGAGGTTTGGGGAGACCTGTCCTGTGCATCCCGCTGCGCAAAGGTCACAGTGGCATCTCGGAGTGAGCAATCTCTCTTCTCCTCACTCTCTTATACAACCCCTTAAACACCGTCACTTCTGCAGGCCGTTTTTCCATACCACTAAAACTTCTTCTCGCGGACTTCGAACTGTCCACAACCCGGGGCGCAAATCGATTCGGTGCGCTGGTCCCAGGACCACATAAATATTCAGGATGAGCGGAACCGACTACTCATACGACGAGCAGGTAGGCTTGCCTCGATCCTCCCAAGTATTCTGTACATGCTGATTTTCCCAGGGCCAATTTTTCCCCTTCTTCGTCCTCACTGTCGTCGGAATAGTCACAGTTCCCTTGACATACTCTGTCCTCAAGCCAAGGTCCGATCCCGGTGCAACTGCCCCTCGAATAAAGTCAGATTTCCGGCCCGAGCATGCAGACTTGGTCGATAGCCAGAGAAAGGCACAGAGGAGGAAGGAGAGAAAGATCAAGAGGGGAATCGCAGTGGTGGTAGGATGGCTGGTCATGGCTTTCATGGCCTACTTGATCGTCTCGACAGCGCGAACGATACCGAAGCTATGGAACCCGTACGACATCCTGGGGATCAAAGATGTGAGAACGCCCACGCTTGGTTTCTGGTAACATAGCTGACATGAGTATAGTCTGCCACAGAGAAAGAGATTAAGTCGCACTACAAGCGCATGTCACTGAAATACCATCCGGATAAGATTAGACCCGACCCAGCAAAGAACCAAACTATAGATTCTCTTAATGAATTCTTCGTCGAGCTTACGAAAGCCTACAAAGCGCTCACAGACGAGGATATCAGGAGAAACTACCAAGAGTTTGGTCATCCCGACGGCAAGCAAAGCTACAGCATCGGAATCGCTCTCCCGAAATTCATAATCACCGACGGCAATGGAAAATACGTTATCTTGGTATACGCGGCTCTACTAGGTGTCCTCCTGCCATGGCTGGTGGGATCTTGGTGGTACGGTACACAGAGAATGTCCAAGGAGAAGGTTTTGATCGAGAGCGCCAACAACCTATTCCGGGAGTATGAGGATGGCATCACAGAGAATGGCATAATCAGCGCCTTGACTACCGGCTTGGAATTCCAGGCCGCATTGAAGGGAGACATTGCGGATTCGGGGCTATCGAAGTTGGAATCGAGGATCTTCGCTGAGGGAGATGCCACTCCCCTTGCCGGAGGCCTAAATGTTAAGGATCGCACGAAAATCGAGGACATGGAAGGCGGTGTTAGGAGAAAGGCATTGGGTCTTCTATGGGCTTATCTAGGCCGAGTTGAGTTGGACGATGTTGCTCTGAACCAATCGAAGGTCGACGTAGCCCCCGTCGCCCAAGCTCTCAGTAATGCTTTTGCCGTTATTGCTCTCGCATTCTCTACGACCGGTCCAATCATGGCATCATACTCGACGACTCAACATTTGATCCAAGCTATCTATCCTGGCGGATCACCACTTCTTCAACTCCCCTATATGACTCAAGCGATTGCCCGAGCAATCGAAGGCGATTCAAAAACTCACCTGACTCTTCAACAGTACATGGATTTGCCAGAGGCATACAGGAAGAGACTGTCTGTTGGAAAAGGCCTCCTCACCAATGCCCAGTACGCAACCGCCATATCCGTCGCCAAACAGCTACCTCATCTTCATGTGGCAAAAGCTTTCTTCAAGGTTGTTGGAGAGAAGTCTATCACCCCGGGCTCACTGGTATCTCTAGTCGTTAAAGGTCGATTTATACCCCCTGGAAGCGCAAATGTTCCCGAAATCAACGAACTTGATCTTGAGGACGTAGACCCAGCTGAGGACGATGTCGACGCCATCAACGGCCGACCATCAAAGGACAAGGATGGTAAGACGATGAAGGAGGAGAAGCCAGTACAGCCTCCTCTTGCTTTCGCACCATACTTCGGCCGCGAGTACTCGCCAAGATGGCACGTGTTCCTCACAGACAGCAAGCAAGGAAAGATTGCCGTTCCACCGTTCACATTCACGACTTTCGACAAACCCATCTACGACGAGAGCGGAAAGCCCACGTTCAATGTGCAAACGCTCAAGGCTCAGTTCCAAGCTCCTCCTTCAGCTGGCAACTACACCTTCGTCTTCAACTTGGTCTGCGATTCGTATCTCGGATTCGACACTAAGGCTGAGGTCACGCTCGTGGTCGCAGAGGCTAGTGAGGCTGCTGAAATTGTCGAGGAAGATGAGATCAGTGAGCCTGATGAGGGTATGTTCCTGCCCTAGTCCCAACCCCCTTTCGGTAACTAACAGCAAACCAGATTCCATCGCAGGCCAAATGCAAGCCCTCAAGACCGGCGGCACCGCTCCCACCTCCAAGAAGAAGAAGAAGCCGGTCGTTGATGAAGAGTCCAGCGACGAGGAGAGTAATACGGATGGCGAGGTGGACGACGATACCAGCGAGACAGACACGGACACTGACGAGGAATGATGTGTGACTTCGCATAGTACCTTGCTTGCTTTTTTATGTCCCAGGAGAGCCGGGCGGCATTACTGTGGGAATATTGTAAAATACGGAGTGGCATTTGGGAGCGGCGTTTAATTTTTCTCAAAAAACTTCTCTTTATTGCAAATGTTTTCGCGGAGTTGATCGTAGGGAAGGTGATGCTTAGAACAAGAGAAGGAGAGAGAGCGCGCGGGAGAGAGCGAAATTTCACCCTTCTCTCATTGAAAGGAGGCGGAGCGAGAATTCGTACATACAGACCAACTCACTTCTAGGTGAGACAACCAGATCAGCAGATCCGTACACCACATACATCCACGTTCCTCCCTTCCACATGCGCTCTCCTCGCAAAGTACTCCTTGGCGATCTCCTCGATAAAGCGGTGGTCCGTAGCAGACCACACGTCCAGGCCCATTCTCACCACATCCTCGCTATTGACATGCACCGCTGGCCCCGTGTCATCACCACTCACAGGATTGAGAGCAGCGTGCGCATCCTCCCTCTCATCATCCGAGTCCGTCGCATCGACGATATCGCTTAGTGTAGCCAGGACTTGTGTTGCCAGGCGGTGGAAATAAGCGATGATAGCCATCTCATGCTTGGCGCTCATATCCTCCCCGTTCCTGCCCCCTGGCGGATGGGCGGAGGAGGAGGAGGGACTAGAGGAGGGTAGCGAGAGGCCTGAGAGGAGGGTCGCGTCGGCGTCGGCTTCTTCGTCGATTTCGCCGCGCTGCTCGCCCGAGGAGGCCCACCACATGAATCCTGAGTAGGCCAAGGCGGACCATGACAGCGGCTCTGCGATGGCGTCCGTGTCTGGGAGGTCGGATTTGGTGATGTCGCGGGCGTGGGAGGGAGAGCTTGACGCTGGGCGTGATGTCGATGTTTCTGGCACCACAGGCTGCTCGGGGCTGGATCTCGTCTTGTCGGCTGGACTGGGTGGGGGAGAAGCATGGCGGGATAGACCCCAGCGAAGGGATTGGTAGCGGCGGAGGTCACGCTGCGTGGCCTTCATTTCTACGCCTTGCGCGGACTGGATTTTGGGCCAGACCTTGTGGGTGGCGTCTGTGGTGTAGGGAGGGGGCATGGTGACGAGGACGTCGTAAAGAGTGCTTTTCATGGCAAGGATGCTGTCGGTTGTGCAGGCTATCCAGCCGCACCCTTGGTCGTCTCTGGCCTCGGAAAAGTCGGACTCGTGGCCTGTGAGAGATGCCTTCGAGATGCGCAGGTCTTCCTCTAGGAGGGGGATGTCGTGCACGCCTATTGAGAAGAGGGGGCGGAGGCGTTGAGGGGGAGCTGTAGAGGCGAGAAGATCACTGACTGCTAGGGGAATGTTCGAGAGGACGGAAATGTCGTATACTAGATTGGTTGTCAGATACATAAACATATGTATATATCTCTCTTTACGTTCAGCATCAAACGAGTGGTCACATACCAAAATCACAAGTTTCTTGAACAGGCGCCTGCGCTGTGATCAATATCCTCTTTCGCAAGAGCGCAGCCCTATGCAGAGGGAATATCAGAGGCCCGAAAGCCTCAAGTAGCCTTGGTAAACTCCACGCCGGATGGTGAGCAGACAATGAATGCCCAGGAGGGAGCAGCGCCGCGCCATCTGAGGCCGATCGATTTCGGCCATGTCCGTTCGGCTTCACAGTATTATTTCGTACGGGTTCGAGCTTCAAGCTCAATGGAGTATCCAGCGGCGACTCAGTCATCGCCGGCGGAGAAGGACCTTGTGCTTTGTGTTCTTCCCAATACTTCTCGAGAACTTTCGTCTGGGTCGTGTCGACGATCAACTCACTAAGTCGAGTAAGTAAGCTTCCTCTCTCGCAGCATTCATTGCTCTGATTGTCTACCTGGCCATCTCCTTCAATGCCTCAGCATGTTTCCAACTCCTCCCTAATCTGCCATAGCTTAAGGGCACCATAACCCCCACGGCAATCATCCGGGCATTCCTGGATTCCTCGGCAGCAGGCGCGTTGATAAAAGCGCTGAGCCCGGCATGATTGTCGTGGACAAAGTAAATCAGATCCTCTTTCACGGTGTGCAGTCCCGATGGCAGGCTCTTGTATTCCACTACTCCCTCCAGCTCAATGCCTGGCAAAGACCGCTTCCATCCAATGGTGTAGCCGGCTTTGATGTCGAAGTAGATGAGGAAGAGGGCCGAGAGAGATGGGAGATCGGGGTTTTGGAGACTACCATTCGGCAGGTTGATGTTCAACGGCTGACCTCGTCGGGCTGCAGCCATGGTCCTCGAGGCGCCGTGGGCATGCCAACAGGACTCGGATTGGGTAGAGTGGGGATAGTTGTGGTTCAGAGGTTCGGGACTTGGCCTGAAGAACTGAATGGATGAAGTGAGGTAGGTAAGATGACACGAGGCTGAGCCCGAGGCTGTAAGAAATGTACTGTTTTCGGGCTAGGAATGGATATGGAAATTTTGATTAAGATGTTTTCCAACTACTGTAATGGAGTGATCGTTTCCCGTCTCGTATAAACAGCCCGGACTGACATTTCATTGTCATGGGATGGTCCTTCATCTTGGAGAACCGGACTTGAAGGAGCGCGGCTATCCGACCTATTTATAGCATCTGATACGGGCGACGACGACAACAGGACATACGCAACAAATCCATCTCAATTGCCATACATAATTAAATATCAACAGAGGTTTTTTTTTTTCCTTTTTTTTCTTTTTTTTTTC